GTGTGTGTGTGTGTGTGTGTGTGTATATGTGTGCGCACACGCCCATGCTGGGTGAGTGAGGGGGGAATAGAGAGACCTGTGACTCATAGCATATCAGGGGCTATTTTTACTTTGGTCCTCCATCAACTCTTGTTTTAGTACTTAGCTGTATCTGTTCATAGCCTGTGCTCACATCACTGCATTTTGTATTAAACACCTCCTACCTCCTACCTCCTACTTTTTATTTTCTTTCAAGAAGCATGTCTCTCTTGCCTTTGACATTTGGCTTCATTTTTCCTAGAGATTTTTCTGTCAATTTACTTCTAGATCATCTGCTTCTGAAGAAGATGACAAGGAAGATAGTGTGTGGGAGCCCCAAAAGAAAGTCGTCAGAAGTCGCAAGCAGCCTGTTCCCAAAGAATCCAAACCAAAGAGGGTGCCACGGGTAAAGAAGACCACACTACAGATCCGCGATGGCTCAGAAGGCATGGCTGTTAAGGAGGAGCTGGTAGGCGCTTTAGTTGGGTAAAGGGAACACTGTAGTGCCTTCCTAATTGGTGATGCTACTTTCTCCTTACAGAGAGCAGGACAGAGTAGGTAGTTGACAAAAGTACAGGGCAGTGGCATTCTCTACCATGGGCTCTAGTAGTATTTATCGTTAGACTCACTGTGTTCGAAGGGAAAGAATATTTGTCAACTGACATATTGATGTATTTTGCTATAAGCAAATGCTGTATCTATACAAATCTGGATTAAAACACAACAACAACAACAACAACAACAACAATAAATTATAGGCTTTGTTGCATTACAAAGAGTTGTGCATTTCCAAAATTATTCTCTGTGGTATTCCTTTAAGAAACTGCTTCCATGGTACATTTGAAATAATACTCTTTTAATATGGTTTAGAAGCCTGACTTTTCAGGGACACATTTATTGTGTACAGTAGAGGACATTATATCGTACCTTGCTCTGCTCTTAGATAGGGCTTTTATTTAAATCAGTCTTTCTCTTGTTATCCAGTACTTCTGTTTCTTCATCTTTATATACAAGCTTCTTACTGAACACATTTGAATGGGTGAGCAGGCTTTACCTAGAGCTGAGAAAGTATTGACTTCTATTATCTTATTGGCAAAATTTGGAGGTTTTTCATTAAGCGTGGTATGGTTGCACCTAAAAGTAGCTTGATTGCCTAACTTACGAAATATCTCTTAGTTCCGTGGTTTTTGGCATTAGGACCATAAAACCCTTGAGAATCTGATAAAAGTTATGAACCCTCTCTTCAGCAGAATGTACACATGCCTAGCTCCTAAATACTAACATATAGCTCAAGAAGGTATAGCTTAAGAACCCTTGTCATGGTGATTTCTTGATCCTTCCAGTGATGCTCAGTTATATGTGTATAAAAAAGAATTAGAATAGAAACTCTTTCACTTAAGAAACATTCTGGGGGGTTTTTAGAATTTCTTTCAGAATTGCCAAAATTCACACATTTTATACCTTAGCAAAAGCACATTGAGCATGTTAGAAGACTTTATTCCATTAGGTTTGGCGCTCTGATCTGCTGTAGCCACCACCGAACAAGATAATTGAAAACCTTATTTTGGGTAGAATGAGAATCAGTAGCCTCCTTTTAACTTTATTTTTAGCAAACATCACAGACAAAATTAATTGTTAGTCTCTTCCTCTCTATGTTGCTGGCATTTACCAACCTACTCGCCACACTGGTCACTGAAGACATTTGCTCAGCTCCATTTCTTATCTCCTCTCTGCCACTTTGTGCTGTTGTTCTTCGTGATTTCTCCTCCACTGGGATGCATTCCCTGATGCCTTTGTTCTTCGACCTCCTCATCTCCAGGGACCGTGTCTTCTTCTCTGCCTTTACCACCCCTCTCGTGAGCTCAGCCTGAATCTTGCCATCATCAGAAACTGTGCTATTGTCATTCCTTTCCAAGCATCCTGTGTTCGGAGCACCATCTCACCATTTCCTGTTCTCCTAGTTCACTGTTCAGGTGCCATCACGGCCACACTTTTATAGCCTTGTCACATCTTCTCCTTGGTAGCTCTCAACCCGGGGAGCTTGAAAAAATGCCCCTGTCCTAGATCATTTAAATCTGGAGAGAATCCTGAGGGTGGGGATGGGCCCAGGCCTCAGCGGTATTGTTTGCCTGAAGTTCCTCAGGTGACTTCTGTGGACAGCGGGGGCTGAGGGCTACGACCCAGTCCTTGGACTGTAGTGCTTCCCCAGATCTGCTTCATGGATCACCATCAGTCAGCCCTTTTCTTTTCCTACCCTACCTAGTCTTGACCACATAACCTCTCACTTAAACCACTTTTTATTAGTCTCACCAGTTTTGCCCTTCTTTCCTTCAGTCGCCCACGGCTGATCAGACCTGACACGGGGTGACCCGTTGCCTCTGCTCTGCCAGCACAGAGCAGCTGACTCTTGCTGAAACAACCTTGACCTAATTTGTTTTTCTTTATATTCATAATCTCAGACCTCAAAATTACACTAAAAATACCTGGTAGACCCATTTTTTTCCTCCGGCGGATTTGTTTTTCCAGTTTTTTCTTGTTTCTTAAACTTCTAAATTCCTTTCTCCCTCTCAGCTGATGACATTGCTTTTTACATACTTAAAAATTCATGAAGCTCCTCATTATCTCACAACCAGGCTAGCTATATTTGCGTTTTACGGTGGAGGAAATGTCATCCCCCCCGTCCAGGATTAGTCCCACCAGTGGGCTGTCATTGCTGTCCCCTCTTGCTCAAGGTCTGTGTGTCTTTAGTCATCCCCTTTCTTTTCTCTCGTCAACTTTTCTTCCAGTGACTCAATTGCTAAAGAGTATGAAAATGCTCTTTTAAATCTAATTTTTAAGAAGCCTCCCTTCAACTCCTTATCCCTCTCCAGTTATCTGTCGAGCTCACACAGTACAACACAAGCCAGGGCCAAGGCCTGCTGACTGATTTGACTGGAAAAGACACAATGAGCCACTTTTTTGCTTTAGACAGTTGACTGCTTTCAGAGATGGCAAAAAGAAGAATAGTCAAATTCTTCTTGGAGTCTTGGGTTTAGTCATAGGCTACATAATAACCATGTGGAGTGTTAAGGCTGATTAAAAAAAAAAACAGTGAGGGCAGAAGAAAATGAACTTTGATTATTCAGTCTGCCAAAGATTCAGGTTGAACATAAGGAAGAAAAATGTTCTCATGGAGGCTTACTAAACTTGAGATAGTTATAGAATCTTAGAAGCTTCATAAAATGGAGAGATATTTCCCTATGTTTTCAATAGTTTAGATCTACCTTTTTCAAACTTTTGGTCTTTGAACCCCTTTATACTCTTAAAACTTACTGAGGAACCCAAGGAACTTTTGGTTATGTGGGTTACTGATACTAATATTTACCATATAAAAGTTGAAAATGAGAAATTAAAATATTGATGAATTTTTTTAAAAACCTATTACATGTTAATGTAACTAAATTTTATTTTAATGAAAAATAAGTATATATTTTCCCAACCAACAACAAAAAAAATTAGTGAGAAGAATGACATTGTTTACATTTTTGCATATGTCTTTAATGTCTTATTTGACTTACTAGAATATAACTGAAATGTAAAAACAAAACCTGCTTCCACACAGATATGTCTTTGCAAAAGGGAGATGCATTTTAAAAGCTTATGTGATGCGGTACCAAAATTCAGTGAGTGGTAGTTTCTTAAAAGTTTGTTTCATTGTGAAATCTGAAACCATGTTAATGAACTTCTTGTACTCTACTACATTAAAATCCATGGGTTCGTGTTATTTGAATGGGTCTTTTACCCATGCATGATTTTGTGACATATATTGATCATTTGGAAAATACCGGTTCACTGATTTATGGAGATCTTGCGGATTTTTATCATCTTTCATTACCTGGTGTCAAAAAACCACATTTGTTAGTATAACCTCCAGTCTCATCACAGTGTTGGGAAGCTGTCAAGTTCAGAGAGGATACAATTTCCAAAATTCTAATTTTCACTATTAAAGCCTGAAATTTACTGTTAGTTGCAAATGTCAGGTGTTTCCTACAGGTGACAGTCACAGGTCATTTCTGGAAAAGTGTCCCAAGTCTGAATAACCATAGTTTTGTCAGTAATTATTTCAAGTAAAAATGCCTCTTTTTGGAAAAAGAAGCTGGTTCAGTTCACAACTGAAATGGTGCATGTGAGGTTTTGTTCGAGATGACCACTGCACATCTGTATGCCTTGGCGTGCAGCTTAAGTGTTCTATGTGTACTCACCATTCCAGCATGGAGTATTAAAAAGGTGTGTTTTCAAGGACTGAAACTATAAAAGTCAATAGTTTTTATCTATTTGTTTATTTATTTAATTTATTTTAATGTAGGCTCCACGCTCAGTGTAGGGCTTGAACACACCACTCTGAGGTCAAGAGGCATGTTCTCTACCAACTGAGCAAGCCAGGCACCCCTAAAAATGAGTAATTTTTAACTGCATTGTTAAGTGAAACTCACATCGTTTTACTCTAAGAGTGTGGCGGTGAAGGGAACAGTGACTTGGCCTTATTATGAATAGAGTGTGGCCTTGCAGAGCCCCTGAAAGGCTCTGCGGACAACACTGAGAAACAATAGGTAAATCTTGCCTGAAGACTCCAGAGAGGGTACCTTTCAAGTGTCTTTATGATTGTTGACTTTTCTTATTTTTCTCTCGGTCGTTGTACTTATTCTTCATTTCTTTGTCTAATTCCTTCTCTCTCTCCTAGGAGGTAGTCTAGATACGGTAGCAGTGGTACTGATGGTGGGATCTGCAGATGTTTTTGTGCTTCCTGTCAGCCAGGCAACATGCTTCACACTACGGCTGTGTGAACTTACTCAGTTCTCACCACCACCCCTCGAGGCGTGTGCTATTACCATCCTGATTTTATAGATGAGAAAGCCACAGCAAGAAATGTGAAGTGATTTGCTCATGGGTAATAGATAGTATGTGATGGAACTGGTTTCTAAGTTAGTGACATGATTTTGTCAGCATTTCAGAAACCGAAACATCTCTCGTGGGTGGTTTTACCTCAGCTGTGCTCGTAAGAGGGGTGTGCAAAACCAGAGTATTGATTTAATAATTAACGATTTGATATAATAATCACAAGGACATGAAATTTTTCTGACTGGTATTGTCTCTCCTCAGAGGCTGAAGTAAGTAGGCACTTAAATAAGAATCCGAGATTTACTCTATGAGCATGGATCCAGATTGGGAGAATTAGATAAATCCATTCTTTCAGATTTATTGAATGCCTCCTGTGGTCTAGGCCTTATGTTTGTCACAAGGACATCAGATGTTTTAAATGCTCGAATCTAAGGTCGTGTGATGGATTCATCTCAGGAGGGCTGTCTTACCATTGCGACCAAAATACTCAGAGTCTGTTTGCTAAGCTATCCTCTTCCTTTTACATTGCTTAGAAGAATGCTGATCATATTTGCTTTTTTACAATTCCTCTTGTTCTGCCCCTCTATGGTTGCAGCCCTCTGTATGGCTGACACCTTTCTTTTACTGTATCAAGTCATTTGATCAAGTTATTATCAACTCTTACGAACCTATGCGTCATTCTATTTTTATATCTCTGCTCTTATCCATTATGTTTCAGCTAAAAATGTAATACTCAGAGGGTTTCTAATGTACATCATCTCCAGGTTAGGTGGTGGTGGGTGAGTTTAAGGATGGGGAGGGATGTTGTAGTTCACAGTATTTTCAGTAGTCAGTAATTCTGGAAAAATACTTGATAGGAGAGAAAATTGAATTTTTGACTAAAAAATAGTTTGGGAGTAATTCTTTTAGTTGAGTTGGCACCATCAATGTCTATTTAGGTAACCAGAAACAGGCCGGCCTGTGAAACTGTGAACTCCATGCAGGTAGGGTCTTTTATGTTATTTATCACTCCAGTGCTGAAATGAATGCCAACTGTCATTCCTTCACACCTGAGCTGTTGCAAAGGCTGGGGGTGGTGGAGAGAGTGGCTCCTGGACACTAGTGTGGACTACTGTGTAGATTCCTCCTTAAAAAAATGCCTGACACCACTCTGCTGTCACGCTGTTTTCTGTTCCTAGTGTTCTGCATAAATTGGTGGCAGGTTTAGCCTGCTGTGTTTCCTGAGTATGCTAGTGTTACTTTTTTCCCCCAAAGGGTTGACTTTTGGTTGCAAGTTTTCTTTTTTATTTTTAAAAGATTTTATTTATTTATTTATTTGACAGTGAGAGACAGTGAAAGAGGGAAGGCAAGCAGGGGAAGTGAGAGAGGAAGAAGCAAGCTTCCCGCTGAGCGGGGATCCTGATGCAGGGCTCCATCCCAGGACCCTGGGATCATGACCTGAGCTGACGGCAGATACTTAATGACTGAGCCACCCAGGCGCCCCTCATTGCAAGTTTTAAATCTTGGGTTTTTTTCTAGCTTCCATAAACTTATCCTTTACTCATTTTTAAAAAATGAGACATTTTATTTCTAGATAATTATAGATTCACATGCAGTTGTAAAATATAATCCAGAGATTGTTGTACCCTTTAATTTCTTCCAACCGTTACATTTTACAAAACTGTAGTAAACTATCATAACCAGGATATTTACATTGACAAAATCCAGGGACCTTATGAGATTTCTCCAGTTTTTTTTGTATTCATTTATTTGTGTATTTCTGTATGTTTAGTTCTGTACAATTTTATCACCTGTATGCGTATGTGTATCCACCATCCAGAATGGTTCCATCACCACAAGCATCCCTAGTACTGCCTAGTATTTGCCTTTTTGTAGCCACACCTACCTCCCTTCGGACCCTTACCCCCCATCTCTGACCCTCCAGTAATCACTAATTTTTTCGGGAATGCTAAATAAAGCATTAATCATTAATGTTATGTAAATTTTAAAGTATGTAACTTTTTGCAATTGCCTTTTTCTCATTCAACATAATTTCCTTGAGGTTCTTCCACGTAATTGTGTGTATCAGTAATTTTTTTATTCCTGAATAATATTCCAGGATATTTAGTTTTTATCTTTTAATTTTCATGTTTTCTGTTTGTGGTTTGATAGAATAACTCTGTGGCTATTGCTGATGTTGATTTGGAAGACAGAAAAAATAAATTGGATAGCACGAAGACTCTGAAACCAGCAAAGACAAAACGGAAGAATTCAGCTCAGTCATCTTTGGGTCAGAGGACCAAAAAGCTGAAAGTTGATGAAGAAACCGACATGGCCAACCGTACAGAGATGCCATCCACGAGCACCGTGTGGGAAAGTGTGTGTAAGAAGGAAGAGAATGAAGATGACTTTACATTTGGTCAGTCCCCTTTAAAGAAAGTGAAGACTGAAGCATGTCCTCAGGGGCAGCCTGTGAGGTTTCCAGCAAATACCAACAGCATTAAAGAGGAGGTGGAAATGAACTGGGACATAGTACAGGTATGTGCAGTCATTTAGTTCGTGGGGTTCCTTTCTTTTTGATTAGGATAAGAATGGCATTGGCTAAGAAAGGGTTGGGAATTTTCAGGTCTCTTTTCAGTTTTTCTAGTGATTTCTGGAGGCTTTGGCCACTGATTCTTATCCTAGGTATGTGTTTCATTTTATAGCTCATCATCATCAGCTCTTGAGCTAAGAGCTGTGACTTCAGGCAGGGTGGGTTTCTGCCGTGGTGTTTGGGTGAACATGCACTGTATAGAGATCTTGCACCAACAGACCAGGCCCTCGTAAGTTCATTGTGAAGAATTTGTTTTGAACTTGGACTGTTTTTCCCGATCAAAGTAGTGTGAGTGATTAGGACATTGACCATTAGTACAGCTCCGATTCTTAATGTGATCTTATAATATACTGTGAACAGGGTCTAGAAATTTCTTAGGAAAAATCTAGCTGAATTCCAACTTGAGCTGCCTTGGATTTCTCCCAGTTTCTTGTTTGGCTTTGGGGATGGCAGAGAAGACCTGAAGAGTGACTTTTAAATGGTGATTCTCAACTTCTGTCTGTGCCAACACACTCTGGGGACATTTCACACTTAATTATGGTAGTGCCCTTCAGGGCAGATGCGAATGACCTCCCTCCCTCTTGTCTGTTTCATGGTGATTCTGATGGGTACTTCTTCCCCTTCTGTGAATTACTGCTCTAGAGCCCAGGGCCTAGGCTTGCTCCAGCTGCTACTTCTCAGTCTGGGATTAGCTGTGTGTTAACATTTTACTTCAGAGGAATTTTTTCCCCCGTGTTGTCTCTTCTGTTACCTGTTAGTAGGACATCACCGGTAACTTTTATTTTTGAATTTTCTCTTCTCTGGCCGACTAAGGAGTAGAATGTTGCCTCAGAGTTTTCTTCTCATCCTTGTTCCTGAACTAAACAGTCCAAAGTTTCTTGGAAAACAGTATATCATTAGGCTCCTTTCTGTACCATCGTTTTCTTTATTCACTTAGGCCTACAAGGACATGTTTTACTTTTTTTGTGTTTTCTCCCTATCCCCACCCCCTAAAAGGACATGTTTTAAAAGAATGGTCATGGACCACCTGCATCAGATTCACCTGCAGGCTTTCTTGAAAGGCAGACCCCTTGCTTAGTTCCAGTCCAGACTCAGAGGGGCAGGTGGGTGTTTCCCATTTCCCTTTCTTTTCACTAAGACTTAGAAGCTGATGTCTCTACTATTGACATAAATCTGCTTCTAATCTTGGACAGGCAGCAAGAAGGAGGGAAGAAGGTTTCAGAGACCACGAAATCTCTTGAAATACAGAGATAAGTTCTTCAAGGTTAAGGGCGGCTTACCCTATGACACTTTGCTTCACACCCATCCCCTAAGCTGAGTAACAGAGAAAGAGATGAAAATGGTCCTGCCTTAGCCCATTATCTCTTAATTATAAGTGATAGAAACATACTTCTAATGATTTGAAGCAGGAAAGAGTTTATTACCAAGGACATGGGGTCTTTCAAAGAATGGAAGGGACAAAGTGTGATCAAGTCTCCCAAAGGCCTTGAACCAGAAATTGGAAAACCGTGAGGATTCGAGGAAGGCTATTTCTTAGTTTTCTCTTTCTTTTCAGTTCCAAGTATTGTTTTCTCCTCCTCCTCCTTATTGGAAGTGATTTTTTGACAGTTCAAACAGGACTGCTCTTGGGATCTGGCACTCCTTGCTTGTGAGTTGGGAGAAATGACTGCTACAACTTCCACCTTCACCAGGCACCCTGACAACTAGTAAGCTCAGCATTTTCGGATGGCTTTAGGGGTTGCCTGGGAAACTTTAGGTGTGATTTGCATTTGGGTTTTTTTTGTTTAACCAGCTACAGTCTTCCTTGTCCAACATTCAGTTATTTTTTCAGACAGTTCTTGTGGTATATGTGGATTTCTTTTTCTTTCCTTTCTCATTCTTCCATAAACAGCAAAGAATACTTTTATCTTGGCACTGCATTCCTGCTTCCAAACATGGTTGACAGCAGTGGCAGGTGGCAGGTGGTAGGGGAGAGGAGACAGAAGAATGAGAGTCACCAGTGCTGAGTACGACAGTCAGGAAGGCCTTGACCCTTTGGATGAGGATTAGACTCATTGAAATGCCTGTGATATGTGTATATGTGGCCAAGTTCTTTGGGGAAATACTGAAAGATACCTAGTTAATAAGGTATTGTCAATGGAAATTAATTGTATAGAGATTATTAATCATTACTAATTGATCATGTGGGAGATGTCATTTCTATTTCCTTCATTTTGTGTGCAGTTCCCCATATCTGCTGTCCACCATGGGGTCATGATCCTTTGTTTTTTCCCTTCACGGTGTATTTCTCAACTCTGAAAATTCAGCTGCTTTTTCAGGAACATCACCATCTTGTTTGGGGAGAGAAAACTGCATTGCCAATACTTAAGTACTTAAGTTACTTATAGACTTTATGTGTAAACATACTTTGTGTCCATTTCTTACTCAGAAACAGGGATTTCCAGATCCCTTTGAGCAGACGCAACCTATTCTTCAGCCCTTTTCCCCAAACTGCAAATGTGTGGTCGCGATCCGAAATAGTTTTTGTTAAAGAACATTGTATAATTATGCAAATGTGATATAAATACCGTGACCTTTTTTAGAATTTGAAGAGGTGACTAGCTACAACCAGTTTTTGAGAAAATTAAATGCTTCAAAATGGTGATTGCTATTAGAGTCTCTTTATTTTGAGGGGGCTGGGAGTAAGAAGTGGAGTAGCCACATATGTTAGTAAGGTTTGCCAGATTAGAGAGGAAAAGCAAGCCAAACTCTCTTTATTAGCTATATTTCTTGCAAGAGATGATGGGAAATGGTGTGGGTGAAGAAGACCAGGGGATGACAAAATTAGGGAAAGAAGTGGGACTGCAAGGAGGTGAGTATGTCTGAGCTGGCTTTCTCACTGCAGGTCTGCATGTAAGCACACACCATCCATTAGGTTACCTGTTTGTTCCAGGAGTGATTAAGTGAAACAATTGCATTAGCTCTTTTTGTTTTTATGATTTAGCCGGTATTTGTTATGGGCTTTAAAACACATCTGTTTTTTTTTTTTTAATGATTTTATTTATTTGTCAGAGAGAGAGAGGGAGCACAAGCAGGGGGAGAGGCAGGCAGAGAGAAAAGCAGGCTCCCCGCTGAGCAGGGAGCCTCATGATGTGCGACTCAGTCCAAGGCTCTGGGATCATGACCTGAGCCTAAGGCAGACACTTAACTAACTGAGCCACCCAGGCATCCCCCCCCAAAAAATCTATTTTTTTTTTAAGATTTTTATTTATTTATTTGACAGAGAGAGAGAGATCCCAGGTAGGCAGAGCAGCAGGCAGAGAGAGAGGGGGAAGCAGGCTCCCTGCTGAGCAGAGAGCCTGATGCGGGGCTTGATCCCAGGACCCTGAGATCCCGACCTGAGCCGAAGGCAGTGGCTTAACCCACTGAGCCACCCAGGTGCCCCCAAAAATCTATTTTTGAGGTATATATACTTCTACTTTGAAGTATATATGCTATTTTGGAGTATATATAGCTTATTAATGTTCAAAAGTAACAAGCTTCCAGATGAAAAAACAGAACCTGATCAGCACCCTATAATCCCCTTTATATGGTTTTCCAGTCTCCTGTCCCCTTTCCTTTAACCACTTGTTTAACTTCTAACAGCATAGTTTTTCCTTTTGCAGTCTTTAAGGAAGCTTCTGCATGTGATAAGATAATTAATATAATAAAATAAATAGGCAGGGGTAAAGAGAACAGCAGGAATCAAAAACTTTTGAGAAAGGAGGTGTCGAACTGCTGATTGGGGAATGATTTTGAGTAGAGAGTTCTATCTTTCAGTTCTACTCATTAGAGTAGAATTTAATATAATTTTAGTTCTATTAAAATATAGGTGCTGCCAGGATGATTAAGGCTATAGTTTGTTGATACTCAGATACTTTCTTTTTTTAACTGAGGGAACTGGGATATAGAGGAGTAAATCTCAGGACACTTTGGGAGAAGTCCATTTTGTTGCAAGTTTTAGACACCAGAGGGCAGTATGAAGGCATGTTTCATCTGCAGTGGGATTCAAGAAGAGAAGTGAGGTTATTGTCTAACCTGTATTTTTGCCTGAAAAAAAAGTCATCTTGCTTTGCACACAAATCAGATTTTTTAAAAAGTAATGTAACTTGTGGTCCTTTGGGCAATTTACTTAACTTTTGGGGGCCTTAGTTTTTCTATCTATAAAATGGGAGTAATAATAACCTAGGCTCGTATAATTTGAGTTAATACTGAATATGTGAAGTGTGGAACACAGTAATCTCTATACAGGTGTTAGCTTCAAGCAACAGTCACAACAAGTGCCTCTCTTATTTAAGTGTTAGGGTTGAAAAAAGTCTTGAGACTGCCTTCCTTTTTACTTTACTCTCATTCCTAACCAGTTAACTGCAAATATTATTAAAGTAATAAATGAAAATCATTTAAAAGTAAAAACTGTAGTAGTTCTCTGCCTTACTCTTACACATCCCTAAAGTTTGATCTCTGCTTTTTTATGTCTTTGTTGTTTGCCTCATTTTTCTAGGCCCTACGCCAGAGGCGGTTCTTCAGTGGATCTGGGTGGGGCTCAATAATTTGCATTTCTGACAAGTTCCCAGGTGACGCTTATGTTACTGGTTTGGGGACTACACTTGTGAGACACTTTCTCTAGTCCACAGAGCTCATTGACTTGTAAAATGTCACAGGGAGGTTGACTCAATAGCTAAAATAAAGTAATGAGCAAATCATAACTGAGTGGCTTAATACTGAGTATAGAATAAAGCTCAAAGTCTACATGGAATTCACCATCTAGCTCTATCCACCTTTCCATTTCTCACCTCATCTCAATACCCCTTGTACGTTTTAGCATTGCTGAACTTACAGCAACTTAAAAAGTGTGCAGTGGTTTCTCATCAGTGTTTTTTTTAACTAATTAACTTATTTAAATTTTTTAAATTAACATATAATGTATTATTAGCCCCAGGGGTACAGGTCTGTGAATCGCCAGGTTTACATACTTCACAGCATTCACCATAGCACATACCCTCCCCAATGTCCATAACCCCACCCCTCCCTCAACCCCCCTCCCCCCGCAAACCTACGTTTGTTTTGTGAGATTAAGAGTCACTTATGGTTTGTCTCCCTCCCAATCCCATCTTGTTTCATTTATTCTTTTCCTACCCCCCAACCCCCTCCCACATTGCATCTCCACTTCCTCATATCAGGGAGATCATATGATCGTTGTCTTTCTCTGATTGACTTATCTCGCTCAGCATATATATATATATACATATATATATACACACACACACATATATATGTATATATATACACACACACATATATACACACAATGGAATACTATGCAGCCATCAAAAGAAATGAAATCTTGCCATTTGCTACGATGTGGATGGAACTAGAGGGTATTATGCTGAACGAAATAACTCATGAGTGTTTTTTGATATGCTGTTCTTTCTTCATGGAATTCCTGCCCCTATTTGGCTGCCTGGAAATACCTTCATTGTCTTTGTTGCTTTTCCATCGCTGCAGAATTAGATGTTTCTACCTCCCATGTGCTCTTGAAATAATCTATAGAAACAATCTATGTGCTTGTTGCAAGAGTACAGATCACAATATATTTTAACTACTTGTCTGTCTTCTTTCTAGCTTGTAAGCTCCTTGGAAAGAGGGACTTGGCATTTTACATTTTGTTTTCACTGGCTTGGTATGGTTATTGGCATATAATATGAGCTATATTGGCATATAATGTGTCAAATAAACATTTGACTAAATTAAGACAGGGAATTGGATGATCTGGAGACCCAAAAGTATAGACTGCTTATATGGGGTTTTGTTGTCTTCAATTTCAAGGAGCAAATCTACATAAGCAGCGGCGTACACTCCCTTAACATATATGATGCTTCTGGATTTGTTAGGACCACATATGACCCACATGTGGACCTTGGGCTATGTTTGAGCCCCTTTCAGTTAACAATAGCTGAGATAGTTTAGGCTGGTGGGAACCAATGGGTTTCTCTAACAATCACACAGTTCCAAAATGATGAGCATTTTGATCATTTTCATTTTTCATATCTGTCTTTTAGAATCTGGCCTGTCTTTCAAGGGCCAGTTGAAATGCTACTCCTGTAAAAAGCCTTCCTTGATTACCCCTGCGGGACCTTTCTCTTCCCTGAAAACAGTGTATCACTGGCACATCCTGTTTTATTTGTATTTATTTGCATTAACATTTACTTTCCCTTCTAGATTGTTTACTCCTATAAGACACTGCAATTTGGAACCACACTTAGGAAAATATTTTAAAACTATGCCATGGTGGTTGAACTTTTACCAGTATGTAGATAAAAGTTATTGGAGCTTCTGTTCAGAAGAAGAAAAAGAGAAAAAATACCTGATTTATTATATCTGTGTTTTAGAAACATAGTCAACAGTAATGCAGAGAGGCTGGGTGGAAAGCATAGAAAACAGAACTGCTCTGTGGTTCAGATAAAAAATGATATTAGCAGAAAGGGAACTTGAAGGGAAAGAACAGACATTTTAGAAATGCAGTTTGCTTCCTTAATGATAATTTATATGGTCATGATAGGGAGCTCACAGTGATACTGAGGACATCGACTAGAATGCTTTTTGGTTGCAGTAAGAGAAAACCCGTCTCAAACTAGCTTACACAATGAAGGTGATTTCTTGACCTCTGTAACAGGAAAAGTTTGATCAGTGCACTGAAACAGTCTTTCCATGATTCTCTTAGTACTGCCATTCTCAGCTTTAAGAGTCTATGTGTATAAACCATGTTTCTCTAGAAGAAACTGTACCTGGGTCCAGAGTTTCAACCCAAACCTTGAACTTCATGCTGACTGGACCAATCTTTCTGGCCACACTCTGGCTATTATATATAAAACAGTTGGATACTGAAAAAAATGCTGTGGAGGTAGAGTTCAAGTTAAGTTCTTTCAAGGTGCATAGCTAATACATAGTGGGAAGGTGGTGTTGGAGGAGATAGCCATAATATTCCTGAGAATTTCTGTTGTAGAAGACAATGTTAGTTGGAATAAGAAATAGGAAGAGGTACAGGTTTGAGAAAATACTAATGAGTCTGATTTTATAGGGGTCAGGGAAAATTACAAGCAAGAGCAGCATTTCTGGATGAGAGAGCAACTTCAGAAGGTCTCTAAAGAGGGAAACAACTGGGCTTGTTCTAGGAAATAAGATAAAGTCATTGGGACTGGCTTCTTTTTCTTCTTCTTCTTTTTTTTAAATTTTATTTATTTAACTGACAGCACAAGCAGGGGGAGCAGCAGTGGGAGAGGGAGAATCAGGCTCCCCACTGAGCAGAGAGTTCAGTGTGGGGCTCAATCCCAGGACCCCAGGATCATGACCTGAGCTGAAGGCAGATGCTTAATCAACTGAGCCACCCAGGCCACGCCCACTGGGTCAGGCTTCTAATGAGAGGAGGATTAGATAAGATGAGGTTGGCAGTAGGCTGATGTCTTTGGGTCATGGTAAGGAGTTTAGATTCTAAGTGCAATGGGAAATCATTGAAAGGTTTTAACTAGTTAAGTGACATGATTCAGTATATATTTTATCTTTTTTTTTAAAGATTTATTTATTTGAGAGAGTGCACACACGTGTGCATGCAGGCGGGATGGGGGGAGGGGCACTGAGGGAGAGGGACAAAGACAACCTTAGGCAGACTTACCGCTGAGCGTGGAGCCCGATGGGCATGGAGCGTGGGGCCCGAGCTCAGTCCCAAGATCCTAAGATCATGACCTGAGCTGAAATCAAGGGTTGTAACCCACTGAGCCACATAAGCACCCCCCAATATACATTTTAAAAAGATAATTCTTGTTGGTTTATGAAGACTGGAATAGATGGGATTGGAATGGGTGCAAGAATAGTTACAGGCTGTTGAGTAATCCTTGCTTGAACTAGACAGGTGTGGGGAGGAAGAAATGAAGAACAGTAATAGACTACAGAAATATTTTGTAGTTAGAGTTAATTAGTTCTTACGATAGAGCAGATTAAGAATTGAAGGAAACAAAAGGATTAGACTCTTAGTTTTGTGGCTTGAATTACTGTTTGGACATAATAAGGGGGAAAACTGGAGAAGGAATAAGTCTGAGAGGGAGATGACTTTGCAAAGCCAAGTTTGAGATGCCCATTATGTTTTCAAGAGAATATCGCAGGTAGTTGTCTAAATGAGTCTGGAGCTCATGTGAAAGAGAGCCAGGGCTGGAGATGTCAAGTTGGCGTTCTCACTCATCAGAGAGATGGTATTAATGCATCAAAATGTGGGAAGATGTGGGCCTCAGGATTTGAGATGGCTAGGAGAATGAGTACCCTCCCTCGATAATCTCTGGATTTCAGCTTCTTATTTCATCTGTAGTTTTGAAATTCATCCTGTTTTATATATTGACTTGATTTTGTTAATTAATTGATTCTGATAATTCTTTAAGTAACTTTTCTAGTTTTTTTTTCCCCCTTCCAATTTTGGCTGATCATGGGTATCAGGATTGAAATAATAATAAAATTTATGTCTTTTGTGCTGTACTCGAAAAATCTGCTTAGGTTTTGAGATCAGTTACTGAAATTGCCTTTCCTTCTTTCTCTTCTTCAGGCTGACTTCTCTAAACTTTTCTGCTTATGTGTACATTCTCCTGAAACCTATAGATTTGCTTTTTTAAAAATTAATTATTTTAAATATGCAGTATATGTGTATGATATGAAAATCGAAAGATACAGAAAAGTTTTCCTACCCTTACTCATCCATTACCTTTTCTGAAAGTAAGCCATGTTCCTAGGTCTCGTGAGTCATTCCGTTATCACTTCATATAAGATTAGTTGCATGGTATTCATTCTACTCTTATCATATCATGATTTATTTACCAGTTTCCTAGTATAGACTTAGGTTTTCGCTGATTTTTATTATGCTGGAAAAGGTTCTTCAAAAGATATCACTATAAATAGTATCATTTTCTAGGAGTATGAATATACCAGGATAAATTCCAGAGTGGAATTGCTGGGTCAAAGAGTTTATGCATTATAAATTTTGATAGATACTGCCAACTTGTTCTTCCTGCAGAGGTTATACCATTGCACTTTCTCACTAGCAGTGAGACAACACAGTGTCATGTGTTGACACTTGTCAACACAATGAGTTACCAACTCCTTGATCTTTGCTGCTAATCTTGAGAGGTGAAAAATGAGTCTTATTGAGTCCTGTAGAATTTGAATGATTACAGAGTGGCTTTGATTGGATTTTACTGAATTAATGAAATGATGGTTTTATGATTGTTAGTACATGTATGTATTTTTTCAAACCACCACAAGTGTTCCTAAGTGACTGAAGAACATTATTTGATTATATTTGAACCAGACATTATCATATAAATGTTTAAATCACTAAGTGTCCTTATTTGCAGGTTTTATCTGAGAGAACTAATATTGAACTTTGGGTTTGTGCCAACATTATTCGTCTCTTTAATGATGACAACACAATTCCCTTCATTATACGGTATCGAAAAGAGCTTATTAATAACCTCGATGCTGATTCCTTGAGAGAAGTTCGACAAACCTTGGAGGAGCTCCGGTAAGAAACCTGGGAAGGGAGGAGCCTACTATGAGTGGAAAGAGGCCTTGTGAGCCAGTGAGGAGAAACAGTGAGGAAGTGAATGACAGCATATTTCAACAGTCGCATTGTTTTGTCTTCTTGAATTATTGTAATTGAATGTAGTCGCCTTCTGACAGAGGAAGTCAGGTTCATTTTACTTCTTTAGGTGTGTACAGAGTCCCTCTGCTGGAGCATTTATGAATAGCTTGGGCACACATGAGCAAGAAGGAGGTTTGCCTTAAAAGTGTGTGCTTAAGAGTTTGACCTTCATATTCTCTCGTAGAAATAGTTGTGTGTAATGGCAAAGGAAGGAAACAGAAACAGAATCTTCCTCTTAATACTATGAAGTCCCTAAATGGCGAGCTTTTTCACAGTATAGAGTTTGGTGGCAAGTATGTATATTTCCTTTTTCTGATCTTTTAAAGAGCATGGTAATTTGATATTAGTGGGTTTTAAGTTTTGTATAGCTATAGAATGAAAAGCATCCTTTAAAAAATTATACCTCTGGACTTACTGTAATGACTCAGAAATAAGCATGCAAAGACTATAAGATTAACTGTATTTTTCAGTAGAGTTTATTTAAACATTCTTCACCATTCATGCATTTTTTTGCATGTCTCGTACATGCCAAGCACTGTGTTGTTAATGTGTTTGTTCTTCAACTCTACGACAAGGATCTGATAAAAATTGGATAGAATCTTACCTTCAAGCCATTCTAAAAGTGCTAAAAGTTATTTTTTACAAGCAGCCTAATAATCTTGTTGGGTGGGAGGAACCTGCATGTCACTAGTATTTCTATATCTTTTGTTGAAGTTCTTTTAGTGCCAGGAGGATTAAAATGCTAATAAGTGGAGAGTTCTATTTCCTTGAGAGGCAAAATCAATTAGCCAGCTCAGAAGTAAATAACTAGCTAATCAAGTGGTTTCAGATTTAAGTCTTCCAGGCCCAAGTTAGTATAATAAAGCATCAAGGGATACAAACTAGAAATCCTAACTCCTAAGAGGGGAAGCATCTACTCCAGCCAATGACTGACATGTGGGCTTCTCCACGCAGTTTGCCAGCTTGTCCTATTTTTTTTCCCCCCCAAAGAACCTGGTAATCTGAGTTTTTATATAAAAATTTTCAGGGCCAGGTGAAACCATCTACAGGCCACAAAATGAAGGCCAGTAGTTTACGAATTGGGAAGTAAACTTTCTGTTTGGTTGAAGGCAAGATAGTGAAGAAAATCTGAGGATTTGGGGATCTGAAATTGAGGAAAGTATCACAAACAAGGATAGTTTACTTTAAAAATTAAAGGTATTCTAATAATTTTTGGTTGTATGGGGGACAAATAGAAGCTTTATGTCAAGATTACTATTATTTCTTTTTCTGTTAATAAAAAAGCACTTCAGAAGTGTTCATTCCCTGGATATCTGTTAGTAGTGAAATACTTCAAATATTAGTGGAGGATATTTCTCTGAGTAAGTGGGGGCATTGACTGGGTCTTGGAAGATGTTTGTAGACCATGCAGAGATTTGGAAATGGGATATGGTCTCTATTTTTTTCTTTTTTTTTTTTAAAGATTTTATTTATTTATTTATTTGTCAGAGAGAGAGAAGGAGAGAGAGAGAGAGAGAGCGAGTGCACGGGAGAACACAAGCAGGCAGAGACAGAGAAAAAAGCAGGCTCCCCACTGAGCAAGGAGCCCGATGTGGGACTCGATCCCAGGACCCTGGGATCATGACCTGAGCCGAAGGCAGCGGCTTAACCAACAGAGCCACCCAGGCGTCCCTCTTTTTTTTTCTTAAGCTCAACATTTTCTATAACTAGAGCATTGATTTTCAATCTTTTAATTGCTATCTGTAAAGGAGCAGTGAAACTAATGTAGTGGGTCATTACCATTTTAACAAAAATTAAATAGAGAATAGAAAATGTAAGAGTATGATTTATGTAGTAAAAGTAAATATTGTTTCATGAAAATATTTACCATATGCTTATGTAACTATTACATATATTTATGTTATGTTTCTATAACTTTATCTAAAATTATTTACATGTATATGTGTAGTAGGTTGCAAGGTGAAAAATTTTTTACTGAGGGTCACTGTTAAAAATGTGAATAACAAAGGTTGATTATATATAGTAGGAAGAGCTTCCTATTTTCTCTAAAGATGCCTTTCCTCTTCCATATATGCAAGCCAGTAGGACACTGGCCTTTTGTCAAAATAACTGTGGTGGGCTTCAGCCCCTGAAAACGGTCTTGGACTGCCAGGAATGTAAAAGATACACAGGTTGTAATCTAAGTACTGCATATGCTTCCTATTTAATTTACAATCTTTTTTTTCTTTTCTGTAAGTAGATTTAATTTTTTTCTTATCAATCATTTCTAATAATCTATATTTTCATCTAACTTTTTCCCATCATTTTAGCAGTTCCAATTAGGCAGATGCTGTAAGTAGTAACAGGTATCAAAATAAGATGAGAGGCATTAGATATAACGATAGGATTTGTATTCATAGTACAAAATCATCATAAAATGGTGGTATGACTGTGCCCTTGCTCCTGCCCATGCATTGATTCCTGGAATCAGCTTTTTTTTGTGAAATCCTGGCTCTCTCCATTGGAGAATGGTATTTTGAAACCAGGTATGGGTGCTAGGTTTGCTGGTCCTGAGTGGTGATACCCAGTAGCAATGAGCACATCTAGCACCCATAACTTGGTTTCTATGTACTATTCACCTGATTCCAGGGCTGGGGCAAGGAAAGTAAAAGCCTGGAATATTGGGTGCCAGAGAATAAGGAAGTGCTCTAAGAATGATGGGGATATGTTAGAAGAACACAGAAACTAGCCTGGAGGGGTTACTTCCAGTCAAATTCAGAATAATTGAGCGTCAAAGTAAGTGTTCATAATGGATTATAACCATTAAATTAAAAACCCTGAGTTTGTGGTGATATAAATAAATCAGCAAATAAATTGAAAGTTTAATAAGGAGTGGGATAATTAAATAGTTTTCGAGTACCTTTCCAAAAAATACTTAATTATAAAGAAATAAAGTGGCTGCATGATAGAGAAACCCACAGACACTATCAGATGATCTAAGGTGATTAGTAATGTACAAGTGAAAACCATTTGCCCCCTAAAGTGAGGGGGTGATAAGAACACGGCATTACTTCTATAACATCAGAGAAACTCAAACTAGGACATTCTACAAAATAACTGGCCTGTAACATCTGAAGTATCAAAGCTTTGAAAATCAAAGGGACACTGAGGTACTGTTTTAGCTTGAAGGAGACCATAGACACATGGCAATTACATACAAGCCACTCTTAACAGAATTTGCTGTCAAGGACATTAATGAAACAGTTGGTGAAACTTGGGTGAGATCTGCGGATTAGAATATAATAATACATCTATATTCATTACCTCGTTTTGATGGCTATATTATGTAAGAGGAGATTCTTGTTTATAGAAAATATACACTAAAATATTTGGGTAATGGTAACTTATTCTTAAGTGGCTAGGAGGAGAAAAATGTTTTTAATCTCACCTACAACATTCCCGTAAGTTCGAGATAGCTCAAAAAGGAAGTTTTGACACATAAGTCTTGTATATTACAAAAGTTTTTATTTCCAGGGCTGTTGCAAAGAAGGTTCATAGTACAATCCATAAAATTAAGAAGGAGGGGAAGATGTCTGAGTGCTTGTTAAAAGCCTTGCTGAACTGTAAAACTTTTGAAGAACTAGAACATGTGGTAAGGAACTCTTTTAATGTTTTTTTTTTTTTTTTTAAGATTTTATTTATTTATTTGACAGAGAGACAGCAAAAGAGGGAACACAAGCAGGAGGAGTAGGAGAGGGAGGAGCAGGCTTCCTGCTAAGCATAGAGCCTGATGCGGGGCTCAATCCCAGGAACCCTGGGATCATGATCTGAGCTGAAGGCAGGTGCTTAACGACTGAGCCACCCAGGGTCCAGGGAACCCTTTTAATCTTTTTTTTTTTTTTTTTTAAGGATTATTTATTTATTTATTTATTTGAGGGACAGAGATCACAAGTAGGCAGAGAGGCAGGCTTGCTGCTGAGCACAGAGCCCAAGGCGGGGCTTGATCCCAGGACCCTGAGATCATGACCTGAGCCAAAGGCAGAGGCTTAACCCACTGAGCCACCCAGGTGCTCCTCTTCTAATCTTTTAATATAATACCTACCTAATTATATTATGATTTCGATCATTTTATAGTTAAATAAGATCTGGAAATAGAAAGCTAAAGGCATCAGCCATCATTATTTAATTCAATAAAGTGCTTATTCAGTAAATATCTATCAAATGCTTTTTTGTATGGTTTGCTAAGATAAATAATACAGACTTCTTGTCTCCAGGGCATTCTCAGTTGAGTGGGGAGACAAAGGAGTGTAGGTTATGGAATTGAGAATCCTAAAGGAGAGTGCTCAGCTGGAGGCCTAGCTGTGAGGGTCTTCAGCATGTAGTTGGTCTTTAGAACCATGAGAATGGAAGATTTCACTCTGGGAGAATTTGTGGATAACCAAGTCAGGATAGACCATTGAGGAACACTAACTTTTGAAGCATGGGTGGAGGAAGGGAGAACTGAAGAAGGAGACATGGAAAGAATGGTTAGGGAAATAGAAGAATCAGGAGTAATGACACCATGAAAAACTATAGGGAAGAGAGTCTGAGAAGAAGGTAATCATCATTTGTTAAGTAAATAAATGTAGCGGGAGATTTGGCAAGATAAGGACTGAAAAATGTATATTTGGTAAGTAGGGGATCATTGTGCCGCTTTGGGATACTGCTTTCAGCATGGTGTGAGGAGAGAAGCCCAATGGCTCAAGTTGAGGAGTGAATGTGTGTTAAGAAGTAGAAACATTATGTGTCGGTGGCTATTAGCTATTAGAGGAGCTCCCTTGGGTTGAGCAGAGGACCTTCTAGTCCTTATAATCCAGGCAGAGTTTTTAAGGTGAGTGACTACAAACAAATGACTAATGTGAAGTGAATAGAAAAGTGTAAAGAATCAGATAAGGAATGACCATCTTTGTTTAGCTGGTAGTCTCTGGTTAGTATTAATTCATCTCTGAAGGGAGAGGAAAGAGTTGAGAAAAGGATGTCTTTAGCATTCCCATCGTGTCTTCTAATTTTGTGTTTTAATTTTGACTTGCTTTTTAACTGAATGATATGGTATGTTTTTTGACTTTTTTTCCCCTTCTAGTCAGCTCCATATAAAACTGGGAGCAAAGGCACAAAAGCCCAAAGAGCTAAGCAGTTGGGATTAGAAGGAGCAGCCAAGACATTGCTTGAGAATCCAGGGGAGCTCAATCTGCTATCTTACATTAGACCCAATGTGAAAGGTACCAGCTTTACTTCAAGAGATTATCCTTGTTTCTTTTTCTTTTTCCTTTTTTAATTTGAAAACTATGTCAAAAAAATTGTTTCATTATGTAATGACTATACAAGAGTATTATAGCACATAAGGAATAAATAGCTCTAATAAAATAAACCCCTGTATACCTCCTGCCACCATTCAGCTTCCTCTTTTGATGAAGTGCCTGTTCTAGTCTTTTGCCCATTTTTATTGTGTTGTTTCTCTTTTTTTTAATTAATTTATAAGTACTTTTTAAGATAGTCTTTGTGTTATATGTATTACAGATCTTTTCTCCCAGTATGTAACTTCTTTTCACTTTCTTTATGCTGCCTATTAAATAAATAGAAAATAGAAGGTCTTAATTTTACTAGTTAGTTTATTAACCTTTTCAATTTTGCTAATCGTTTCTCTAAGATACTTGCTTTTTTTTTTCCTTTTTAGAGAAATTGCTTCATTTCCCAAGGTTTTAAAGAATGTCCTATATTGTCTTGTAAAACTTTGACTCTTTCTAAACATTTATTTCATTATAAAAGTCATCTGCTTTTTAAAAAGAATTTCAACAATTCTGACATAATTAGTTATAAAGTGAAGTTCTATTTCCACACTTCTACTCTCCAGGAGTAAAGGGTCCTTTTTCTGAAATGTATCTTCCTAACCTTTTATGTATGTATGCACAAGAATAAAAGAGATGGAAAGAGAGTAGGGGAGAGAGAATTTCTAAGAGAAACCCATGGAAAGTGACTACTGATACATGTCAAAATACATTGGTTTTATTGACAAAATAAGCCCTAGAGTGAGAGCTCTTTGAGGAAGAGTGGCTTTTTATAGGAGTGCTCTGACAGGATAGGATGGATGGGAAGATTGGTGCTCTCCTAAGTACTATGCTCATTCTAGTTTCTTTAGCCTTCTGTTTATTCTTTTGGCTAGGAGAACTAAGTGTCTATAGGGGGCAGTCTCTGATAAGAATATCCACATTCTGTACTACACTATAGAGAATGCTAGCATATTATAACCTGCTTTCATTTTAAACTATTCAGCAGTGTGAGTTTGCAATTAAAAGATTAAGGATGAGTGTCTAAAAATACAAATGTCTGTTCATATACAAATATACTCATCTTAATATTTGTTTTGAAAATGGCATTAATTGAAAGAAAAAGCACAGAAGTATTGAATTTAAAGATGGATTGAAATGAGTAAAACTCAAGTTTGTTTAATTTTTTAATGTCTATTTTTAATTGGATTTTCCAATGATGCAATTTTAATGTTTTACTAGTGGCTGAGACTGTAAAGCCAAGCATTAAGGTCAGCCACAGTGGGGACTTTCTTGCCCAGTGATAGTATGGTTTCTTAGAATCAAATACTGGAGTTTTCAGAATATCAGATACACAAAAGTGTATTGTCTGTTTTTACTCTTTTATGATTGATTTCCTTTCCTTTCACCTCCTTTGGTACAAAGTTTTCCTTAGTTTGCACACATACTGAGTTCCTACTGGGTAGGTTTGATAACTCTGCCTCTTTAAGGCATGGCTCTGTATGGTGATGCTCATGAACTACATGGCGATGGACACTTGGTGATACTTCTGATAATGGGGCTCCATCAGTGCTCAGTGCAGTTACGGAAGTACTAGCGCATATATTGAACTTCCTGTTTACTTTATTCCCTCCTCCTTTTACTCTGATCATAAATGTCGAAGAATTACAATTAATTCCAAACAAGTTAGATACTGGTTTTTAAGTTTGTTTGGATTGTTTTTTCTTTTCTCTGTCCCTTCATTGCTTGGGCTATACACATACTCATGATCATCCTCAATTCTCTTAGTTTTCTAAAGAAATATTTTTTATCATTCCTGTCATGTCTCAAAGAAATGTTTAAGAAACCAGCTATTTCACCGTGAAGTGGAGGACACCTCTTACTTGCCACAGACCAATAAGAACTTGGTCTGAATCAAAGAGATACACGTGCCACAAATGGACTATATCCTAGAATTTTCAGAATATCTCCATGTTGTTTAGAAGGAGGAGTAGCTGATTGCTCTGTTGTGTGGAATAAGAGGTATCCTTATTGCAGTTAAAGTGAAAAGAAGTGTTTGCCCTTCAATTTTCATTACAGTTGTGGAGCTTTGAAGAAACTGGCTGGGAAGTTTTTACTACAACAAAGGAGATACGATTTTCTGCTTCTCTGATCCTTATTTTCTCCTGATTTCATTGAGGTTCTAAACTTTTTGAACTCTTATTATTTTTGGCTGTCTTAAGCCCCAATGATCAATTCTGTGTGATGGAAAAAGATGCTTATTCAAACATACAAGATTCTTCCCAGTCCTTTCTCTTCCAAGTTGGGACTGAGAGGGAGGTAATATAATTTGGATGAGCTACCCAAGTGACTCTGATCATTTCTACCTCCCATTAGGAACCTCTGCTCTAGAGGTAGCTCAAGGTACCTCCCCAGCAGTGTTTTTTTGTTTTGTTTTGAACTTTAGTGGGTATCAAAATGATCTGGAATGCTCTGCAAGACAAAAATCCCCAAACTATACAAAATGTTGCTCTAGAGCTCTAGTGTAATTTTAATTATATAAGGTTTATTAATTATAAAAAATTTTCAAGTTGTATTTGCCAAAAATGATGGGGGCTTTTTAAAGGTCTCTTACTGTCATAATAAAATATGTAACTTCTTTTTTCTGTTCTCTCTCATTGATAATTCTCATTGGAGATACATTCCATCTTTACTTCTGACTTATTTCCTGGTATTTTTATTAAATTTTGTGTAATGATGCTGTAAGGTGCTTTGGAACTCCAGGAATTAGCGCATAGTGACTGGTTTTCTGAGATGAAGCCTGATAATAGGGAGAACCTCACCTGAATAGACATTTATTTACTGCTTACTATATGTCACAGCTGTTCTAGGTCCTTTACATATACAACCTTCTATCTCTCAAAAGTAATTCACTCCTGAAAATCCCCCTATAGGGAAACTCTCTTAAAATGTAAACAGAATTTGGGATGCCTGGGTGGCTCAGTTGGTTAAGCAGCTGCCTTCGGCTCAGGTCATGATCCCAGCGTTCTGGGATCGAGTCCCACATCGGGCTCCTTGCTCGGCAGGGAGCCTGCTTCTCCCTCTGCCTCTGCCTGCCATTCTGTCTGCCTGTGCTCTCTCGCTCTCCCTCTCTCTCTGACAAATAAATGAATAAAATCTAAAAAAAAAAAGGTAAACAATTTGTAGTAATTTTAATGGTTAAATTTCTTTAAAATAATTGTAGTTATTTTAATAGTTAGGATTAGTTATAACAAAATCCAACAAGGCATATCTCTTTTTTTTTTTTTTTAAAGATTTTATTTATTTATTTGTCAGAGACAGAGGGAGAGAGAGTGAGCGAGCACAGGCAGACAGAGAGGCAGGCAGAGGCAGAGGGAGAAGCAGGCTCCCTGCCGAGCAAGGAGCCCGATGTGGGACTCGATCCCAGGACGCCGGGATCATGACCTGAGCCGAAGGCAGCCGCTTAACCAACTGAGCCACCCAGGCGTCCCGGCATATCTCTTTATTAATGACTCCATAAGTCTGTCTTCTTACTCCCTTTGTCTTTTATATCTATTACTCATTAAAACTATGCTCTCAGAAAAACATTGTGATAGTTAGTGCTTGTGTATTTCAAACTTTAATACGAAAAGAAAAGCTTTAACGGATATAGAACTAAGACAAAATGGAAAAAAAGCAATGCAAATGATCTCTTTCAGTGTATATAGAAGTTGATATCACAGGGGCCATAATGTTCAAGAGTCACTGCTATAAATTAGCAAACCAGAAGCACTTGGAAAGAACTTAATGCACCATTGGTAGACAATTCAACTATGAAGATGAATGACATAATGGCTCTTGTTTGGTGCTCATGAGATTTGAGAAATTCAAATGGGTCATTAAAAATGTGAATAAATGCCTCATAAGTCAAAATAAGAATATCAACAAAATTACTTGTAAAGAGTAGTTTTTGTAACTGGTATGAAATAGTATACCTTAGGTTATAACTCTGCTAATACATATTTCCCATAGCACATTTATTCTTCATAAACACTTCATGAAGCAGGTGCTGTTATTCCATTTTTATAGGAAACTGAGGCACAGAGAGGTCAAGTAATTTTGTCCAAAGTTACACATTTGGTAACTGATGAAACTAGGATTTGACCAGGTGGCTGGCTCCAGAGCTGCATTTTTTTGCCACTAGGTTATATGGTATGTAAAGGTCTTGTGTTACTGCTTTAGAGACTTGTTATGTTTTTGCAGAGGTAAGCTAGTCACTGCTATGATACTTCTCTGTCTTAAGGTTTTCAATTTAAGGGTTTATTTCCACTGAAATAAATTTATTATGATTTAATTATCGACTTAAAAAACCAATCTGTAGTTCTTTCTTTGTTTTCCTCCTTACCCTTCTCCTAAAGGACTTTCAGCACTCCAGGATATTGAAACAGGAGTGCAGCATATTTTAGCAGACATGATTGCTAAAGACAAAGACACGCTTGACTTCATTCGGAAATTGTGAGTAACTCTTTTAGAGACTTTTCTGCTTTGTGGACTCATGCTGTTAAGGGTCATATGGTTAGTGCTAACACTAGTGTTCATTAAAATCTTTATTTTTAGACTCCTTTTTTGGTAGCAGAACTCTTTGTTCAAGCAACAGAACCCTAATATGTAAAACAGATAAAAGTAAAGTTGCTTTAATTGAATTCTAGGCAGGGAGCCTGGAACTCTGCCTGCTCATCCTCCTTATGCTGACACACCTCAGTGGAGGGCTCTGAGGAACAGTTGAAAAACCATTGCACTATACGATGTATGCTAGAGAGAGAGTCATATCCATTTAGACTGAGTGACATGCTTCTTAGACATACTGTGATGTATGTACTTTACATGTATTATAATATCTCATTTCTGGTATTAATAAGTGATTGAGTTAACTTGAGAATGCTTAATATCAGGTATAGATAAAAGTGCTGACCTCAAAATGAATTTCAGCTGATGGAGAGAGCTGCTTATCCATGGTATCATGGTCCATTTATAAGAGATTAAAACCTCATGACCTAGGCCCTACTTGGGCTTTTGGATTTTATGCCTCATTAAAAAAAGATATTATCTTAAAACCCTATTTTAATATGTTTTTTAGCTGTGTATCAGCAGAGAAGACAGGGTCTTGCCAGCAGTTTGCTCTTATTTCTCCATATCTCTGAGGTGTGCAGAGAGGAAAGTTAGAGATGAATCAGTTGACTGCAGTGACTTTTCAGGGTTTTTGTTAATACAGGGAGAGAAGTTTCCTATTTCCTCAGTAATAGTAATTCTTAGTAGGAATGAGTTAAAGGAAGAGAATCGCCTAGGTTTAAATGTGTTTATAAGTAATTATCCTCCCAAAATTTGTTTCAGTTTTATACAGCCTCCCTGGAAGCTGTCCTGCCATATCCTCGTTTCCCTTCTTTTTAGCTTTTACATGGCTCTGACTGCCTAACTCAGTGGTTAGAAAAGGTTGATCTCTAGAACAGAATTATTGATCTGGTATTTGTAGTTTTGGTCTCTTACATGACTGCAGATGAACTGATTTAGGCCTTGCATAGGAGGATTGGGTTGAGATATATAGATAGATAGATAGATAGATAGATATGGAGGACCTGTGCTAGCAGAGTCCTCTTTTCATGGGTCAATACGTTTTTATACTTGGGCATCATTAAAAAAAAAATCTCATTTGGTAATAGCAGAAATTTTTTGCTAACATTATTTCCATATAATGTGTTTCTTTACTAACGCACATATTAATAACTGCTTGCTTTTTGAATATTTGTTTATCTGGACAGGTGCCAAAATAGGTATATTTGTATCCAATCATCTCTGGCAAAGGTGTCCTCAAAAAAAGTAAATGAGAAGGATGTTGATAAGTTTCTGCTGTACCAGAATTTTTCATGCAACATAAGAAACATCCAGCATCATCAGGTAAATAAAGAAACTGCTTATCAATGCTGATAGTAATAATAATGATGATACTTTGGATTTGCCTATTACTTTACTTATTAAGGAATTGAAGAATTTTAAGGCAACCATTTTCTTCTTTTTTTTTTTCATATAAATTCTTATAATGTCCCATTTTTCCCATTTCACAATTGCGGAACTTAAGACCCAGAAAAGTTAATAAAACTGAGTATTATTAGCAGAGTTGACAATATACCACTTCAGATATCTTGACATTTTGGCTGGTGATCTTTCATAGTAGACTTTGCTTCTCACTGTGCTTGGCTTTGAGCTCAATACTGGATCTTTTCCTTATGACATACAAATTAGAGATAATCTGATTTAGAATAAAGTGTGAGATCTCACTTAGTTGTGTAAATTATAGTTATATATTTCTGTCCCTTAATATCATTTTTCAGTTTACTAATTTTTTCCTAATTGCTATATCTACAATGTGGAAAGTGGCTTTTATGTCATATAGGGGGGAAAAGATGATTTACAAACTGAAAATAAAATAATACTGGCTTTACATTTACTTAATTTTACCAGTGTTCTTTATTTCTTTGTATGCTTTTGAGTTACTGTCTACTGTCCTTTCATTTCTACCTGAAGGACTTCCTGTAACATTTCATGTAGGGCTGGTCTACTAGTGACAGACTCCCTCAGTGTTTATTTCTAAGGTCTTAAAATTTGTTTTTTTGAATTTATTTTTAATTGTGGTAAAATGCTAATGTATTTAACTTATAACTTTACCATCCTAACCATTTTTAAGTACATAGTTCAGTAATGTTAAGTATATTTACATTGTTGTGCAACCAATCCCCAGAACTTTTTCTAGGTGTAGAATTCTAGGTTGACAGTTTTTTCTTTCAGCTCTTTGATTTTATCATCCCACTGTCTTCTGGCCTCCATGGTTTTGATGAAGTATCAGCTATTAAACTTACCAAGTCCCTAACACATGATGAATTACTTCTCTTACTTCTTTCAGGATTCTCTGGCTTTAGGTTTTGACAGTTTGATTATAACGTGTCTCACTGTAGATCTCTTTGAATTTAATCCTTCTTAGGGTTCATTCTGATTCTTGGATGTGTTGGTTGTTTTTTATCAAAACTGAGAAATTTGGGTCATTATTTTTTCAAATATTCCTTCTGCCTCTTTCTTCTGTCCTGGGTCTCCTGTTATACATACGTTGGTATACTTGATAATGTCCCACAGGTTTCTTGAGCTGTTTCTTTCTTTCTTTTTTTCTTTCTTTTTTTTTTTCTTTTTCTTCTCAGACTGAATAATCGCAATTGACCTATCTTCAGGTTTGCTGATTCTTTCTTCTCCTTGCTCAAATGAACTATTGAACCTTTCAGTAAATTTTTCATTTTAGTCATTGTAGTTCTCAGCTCAGAATTTCTATTTGGTTTCTTTTTGTAATTCTCAGCTCTTTATTGATATTCTGTTTGTTGAGACCACAGTCTCCTGATTTTTTTTAAGTCTCTGTCTGTGATTTCCTTGAACTCTGAGCATATATAAGATAGTTGATTTAAAGTGGTCTGGTCGGGGCGCCTGGATGACTCAGTGGGTTAATCCTCTGCCTTCAGCTCAGATCATGATCTCAGGGTCCTGGGATCGAGCCCCACATTGGGCTCTCTGCTCAGCAGCAAGCCTGCTTCCCCCACTCTCTCTGCCTGCCACTCTGCCTACTTGTGATCTCTCTCTCTGTGTCAAATAAATGAAATCTTTAAAAATAAAATAAAATAAAATAAAGTGGTCTGGTAAGACCAATGACTGAGTTTCTTCAGGGATAGTTTCTGTTAGTTTCTTTTTTCCTGTAAATGCGTCATACTTTCTTGTTTCTTTGCATGTCTTATAATTTTATATTAAAAACTTGACATTTTGAATATTATAAGTTGGCAATACTGAAATCAGATCCTCCCCCTCCCTCAGTATTTGTTGTTGCTGCTGTTGGGGATTTTGTTGTTTGTTTAGTGCCTTGTAAACTATTTTTGAAATATCTTTATTCTTTGTTGTGTGATCACTGAAATCTCTTCCATTAGCTTAGTGGACCGCTAGTTATTTGATAGAGATTTTCATAATGCCTACATAGGCAAAACAAAAAAATACATTCTCCTAGTTCTTGCGGATTGACTCTTGGGGGGTAATCCTTCCACATTAGTATAGCAAGGCTGTTTACAGCTTTGCCCTTAACCTTCACTTCCTGTTTGCATGGTGCCCAAAGGTTAGTCAAAGGTGAAAGCTTAAGGTCTTTTCAGAACATGTGTCTAGACCCAAGCATGCATACAGACTCCCAAGATTCTCTGATTTGTGGAGGAACTTTAAAAAGCCCCTTTCCCCTCAAGTATCTAATATTTAAGCTTCTCTATCATCCAGGTTTTTTGGTCTGTTTGACTATAATCCCTGTAACAACCTGCTGTTGTTCCTTACCCCTCAACACTGTGACTAATTTATTTGCCTTTAAAAACTTTTGACAAATGCCACTGAAAGAAATGGCTTCTGTCCTGGGGAAACTCTGAGACAGGCAAAACAAAGGCAAGCCCTTGAGTCCATCCTTCAGGGAACCATGAGATAGATCAGAACACACAATCACAAATTTTTGAGAATAAAGTCCATGTTGCTCCCTTTGGCACTAGCAACCTGTGCTAGGGATGTATGAGCCACTGCTCATCTGCAGAGTAGAGGATGGCAAATGGGTAAATTAATTTTCTTTAAAAGTTCCTCTGATGGTTGTAAGCTTTTTGTTAGGTCCCAAAGTTCTGAAAAGGTTGATTTTGACAGTTTTGGTCAGTTTGTTACTGTTGTAGAGGGATAGACTTTTGGAGTTCCCTTCTTTATCGTGTTGGTGATGTCACACCTAACAGCATCTTTAAAGTGTGCTAACAGTCCTTGCTCTATTCCAAGACCAGAATGTGGCTTTACCATAAACTGTCTTTCTTTATCTTGTTTAATGGTTTTTAGGTTTAAGTTTACTGTGGTATCAGCATTGCAACCTGTATTTTCTTAATGGAAATCGCTTCCTCCCTTGTTTTAATCTTAGCCCTACAGTTACATGAAATGCTTGCCTTTAATCCTTTTGCCAGAACTTTCCAGTCTTTTGCTGTGATGAAGCTTATTCTTTAGTCCAGTAGGGAGTTGGCCAAGCTTTGCTGTAGAGGACCAGAGAATAAATTCTAAATTTTCTGAGCCAGCTAGCTTTTGCTGCAGTTACACAACTGCCATTGCAGCTGACAGTAGTCATAGATAATATAGAAACAAGGGCGCATAGATTTTAATTGAATTATATTTATGCAAGCAGAGGTTTGACTGGATTTGGCCCATGGACCATAGTTTACTGACTTCTGTATTTCTCAAGGAGGATGTATGTGTACAGTATTCTCTGAGTTTTAACACATTCACAGTTGTTTCCAATGGGTTTGATACATGAACCCCTTAGATCAGTATAATATGTTTTGTTTTTACTTTCTTTCTTTAACTTTCTTAAATATGTTGGTCTGTTGTTGCCTTGCTTTATATGTTGCTTGAGAGAAATCAGATGGCAATCTAGTTCTTTTCTCTAGAAATGCCAAAGATGTAGGTCCATGTTGTTTTATTTTCTTTATTAAGGTTTCATAGGAAGATGAGGGGGAGATTTGGGATCAAGAGATTGCCAGTGTTCTCCAAGCCTGGACGTCCTCAGTATGGCATTTTTAAAATTAATTTTTCCTTCCATCTGCATTTTACTGTTTAAAGAAAAGATAATGAAAAAAATTAGAGTGCATTACCTTTCATGTGATATTTTCCATCATTACAACTATTAATTTTTTAACTTAAACAGTGATATACAGACGTGAAAAGGTTTTTGTTTGTTTGGTTTAAGGTAACATGAAGAGTCATCAATTATCCCAAAATTTTTCTTGGACACTTACTATATATTGGTTCCTACTTGTATGGAGGTGACATGGCCTTTGCTCTTATTAGTTTTAAGAGTTACCTATCTGTTCTAGATCTAATTCTTTTATGTGATAAATGATTTGCAAAGCTTTTCTCCCATGCTGTGTATTCTTTTTTTACTTTCTGAATGGTGTCCTTTGATGTGTAATTTTATTGAAGTCTAGTCTATTTATTTTTTCTTTTGTTGATCATGCATGTAGTGTTACATGTAAGGTGTTACCTAACTCATAGTCATGAAGAATTTCTCTTACATTTTTTCCTAAGAGTTTAATAGCTTTATGTCTTATGTTAAGGTCTATGACCAGTTTTGAGTAATTTTTGTGTATGAGGATGTAAAGGAGTCCAGCTTCATTCTTTTGAACATAGCTATCCAGTCATCCCAGCATCACTTACTGAAAAGACTGTTTTTCCCAATGAATTGTCTTGGCATCCTTGTTGAAAATCAATTGATTGTAGGTGTATGGATTTATTTCTGAACTCTTAGTTTTATTCTGCTGATCTATGTGGCTGTCCTTATGCTAGTAGTACACACTTGTGATTACTATAGCTTTGTAATAAGTTTTGAAATCAGAAGGTAGGAGTACAACTTTTTTCTTCTTTTTCAAGATTGAATCTGGGTCCCTTGAATTTCTATATGACTCTTAGAATTTGTCAATTTCTGCAAAGAAACTAGGTGAGATTTGGTAGAAGTGCTTTGAATCTGTAAATTATTTGGGGTAGTATTTCTATTTTAGCAATAATTAAGATATTGCTAAACATGGGATATTTTTCCATTCTTTCAATTTCTTTTAGCAGTGTTTTGTAGTTTTCAGAGTGTGTGTTTTCCACTTCCTTTGTTATATTTATTCCTGAGTATGTTACTCCTTTTGGTGTTATGGTAAATGAGGGGTTTTTTTTTGTTTTTTGTTTTTTTAGAATGCTTATTGCTAGTGTATAGAAATTGATTATCCTGCAATCCTGCCAAATTCTTTATTAGTTCTAATAGTTCTATAGTGAATTCCTTAGGGTTCTCCATATATAAGTTCATATTATATGCAAATTGGGATAGTTTTCTTTCTTTTCAATCTAGATGTCTTCTATTTCTTCTTCTTGTCTAATTGCCCTGGCTATAACCTCCAGTATGATGTTGAATAGAAGTGGCAAGAGGAGACCCTTGTTATTTTAGAGGGAAAGTATTCAGTCTTTCACCATTAAATATGATACTATCTGTGGGGTTTTTATGTGATCTTTATCACATTGAAGAAGTTGTTTTCTTTTTCTAGTTTGTTGAGTGTTTTTGTTGTGAACAAACCTGGAATTTTGTCAAATATTCTTTCTGCATCTATTGTGTAAGAAGATTGTATGACTTTTCTTTTTTATATTATTGGTATGATATATCATGTTAATTGATATTTGGTTGTTAAACCAACCTTTTATTCCTGGAATAAGTCCCTCTTAGTCCTAGTGTGTAATCCCTTTTATATATTATGGATTTATATATTTATGGATATATATACATATATATATATATAAAATATATTTTATATATTTTATATATTTTTTTAATTGAGGATTTTTATATTTGTATTCGTAAGAGAGAATGGTTTTCATTTTTGCAATGTTCTTGTCCGGTTTGGGTATCAGGGTAAATGGAGTTGAGAACCTTTTTCTTCTATGGTATATTTTAGAAGAGTTTGGAAGAGTTGGTATATTTTAGAATAATTGATGTTAATTTTTTAAATGGTTGCTAGAATTCTGTGGTGAAGCCATCTGGGCTTGGACATTTTCTTGTGGGAAAATTTTAAATTACTAATTTAGTCTTCTTTACTTATTGTAGATCTTTTCAGATTTTCTGTTTCTGTTTTATTCTGTTTTGGCAGACTGTCTTTTTAAGAATTTTTCCATTTTATTTAAGTGATATAATTTGACATATGTTATTCATAGTATTCTTATGATCCTTTTTATTTCTATAACTTCCATAGTAATGGCCCCTCGTATTTTTGATTTTGGTAATTGGAAAGCTCCCCCCTTTTTTCTTGGTTTAGTGAAAGGCTTTTCAATTTTGTGATGTTTTCAAAAAAAAATTTTTGGTTTTGCTAGCATTATTTTGTTGTTTTTCTGTTCTTAATTTTTCCCATGTTCTTTATTATTTCCTTTATCCTACTTGCTTTGGGTTTGTGTACACTTCTTTAAAGGAATGTTTTTAATGTATCTTAAGACATTTGCTTTAAAGGAATGTTTTTAATGTATCTTAAGACATTTGCTTAAGAGACAGACAACCTGATCTGATTTTAAATTTTTATTTCACCTGTTATCTTTGTTATTTGGGATAAATTAGTTTAAAAAATTAATATGTAAAGTGAAGATAATATATATCCCCCTGTTAGCTTTGAAAGTTAAATGAGATAAATATTTAAAGGGCTGAGATAGTCCTCACAATTAGTAAATGCTTAATAAATGACAACAGTTAGTAGTTACTATTCCACTTGGGAATTTGCATGCATCCTTATCTTAGCAATATATTCTCACAAATATAGAAAGAAAATTTTGTAACTCCGGGTGATCAAAAATTTTTGATTAATCAAATCTGAAAAGATTTTTAGATCACCAAAGTCTCTTCCTGTGAATGTCATAGGCTTTGTACCTGTATTTTATTTAAAAAAAGACTTTTTGAAAAAAGTTTAAAGAAATGATTATTTTTAAATACATGTTTGGTAAATAAATTAATAAAAAATTGATACAGCTGTAGGCTGGATAACCACTCTGTTTATTTCACCAGTGTTGACTGGTTAAATTGACCATTTACCTATTTAGTAGATCATCAGTCTTTGCTATATATGTGTGCATTCAGATTCTGGCAATTAACCGTGGAGAAAATTTGAAGATACTGACTGTCAAAGTCAACATTTCTGATGGAATAAAGAATGAATTCTGCAGGTGGTGCATCCAAAACAGGTCTGTTTATAGAGGTTTACAGAATTTTCTGTCTTCCATTTCTAACATACCATACTGAGATCTATATGTACTGATACGGGAAATTGTCCATTCTGTTAAACAAATAGATACTGACAGACAATGGATATGTGTCCTTTTTACATTAAAAAAGTAGAAATGTTGTGTATGTTTAAATAGGAAACAGGATATATTAAATATTAAAATAAATTATTAATAGTGGTTATCTCTCGGGAAAGGGACTTTTACATTAATACTTTTTTGTACCATTAGAACCATATACAGAGTGTTTTCTCTTATGAAAAGCTAAATTAACAAAAACATAGTGCATATGGCATATCTGTAATCTTTTGATCATTAAGGATAATTGAAACAATTTATTAGATATGACAATATAAGTCTCTAAACATAGATGCAATTTACTTAAAAGTTTTGTACATTAAGGATGATTGAAACAACCATTAAGTTTATTGGATATTTCAGAGAATTGTCCAAACATATAACTCTTTATTATTTTCATTTGCTAAGGGAACATTTTAAAATAGCACTACAGATTTGTATAGAACTCCTAACTTTTAGTTTTGACTTTTCAGAGTGTATTTGATCCTTACAATAATCTGTTCAGTGAGTAGAGCAGATTTGTAGCTGCCATTTGACCAATGAGAAAATTGGTGCAAAGGTAAAAAAGCTTGCCTAGAAGTTACGACGTGTAGATTTGGGGTATGCCCCTCAAAAGCTAGTTCTGTGTAACCTTAATTTAGGGAGATTGCTGGGAAAGCTCTCTGAAGAGGTGGATGAATTTTTCTTTGGGAGGAACAAGTGCTATATTTTTTGGAAGTTAGCTCTCTTGTCCAATATTGTTCTTTCATCAATTGATTGGAAACCAGTTTGCCAAAATCCAATTCCATGAAGGATCAGCTTGTTTAATGACCAAATAATGCTAACCAAGGACCCATCAAGTGAAACAACTATGTCAATATTAGTCAGTACATAAATTGTAAAAGCCATATAAACCAATTATGTTATATCCATTCAGTGGAATTCTATGCAGCCATCTTAAGAAAGTTGAGATAGAGCTAAAATTGAGATATAAATATGTCTTATTAAGTTAAAAGACGGTTTATAATTAGTATTTATAGAATGGTCTCATTAATGGCAAAAAATAGGTCTCTCTGTATGTGTAAGAAGATTTTTGAAAAAATAGAGATGATCTATTTCATAGCTCTTGTGTGAGATTTTAATTTTCTGTTGTATAGTCCCCTGTAGAGTTTTCTTTAAATGAATGCTTATTTCTTGTGTAAACAAACAAATTTTGTTAAAAATAAAAGGAAATAAATACCTAAAAGATATTATAGATTTAAACAATTGTATAAAGAAATTAGATAATTTTAATTTAAAATATGATGAAGTTCCAAGAGAGTTTCATAAAAAGAACAAAATCCTAGAAATGGATATATCTAAGTTTGAATTCCAGTTATATGACTTCTTATTCTTGTGACTATGAGCACATTACTTAATTTCTTTCAGTTTCCTTATTGTCAAAGTGATGAGTAATACCTTTTCACAGATTTAAGAGAATTAAATGCTATTCCATGTAATTGTGTAGCCTTCGGTGGTATCTTGCTACTATAAGTGGGATTGCTGTATGAAACTCCTTTTTAGAAATGGCCTTTGTAAATAGATCACAGTAAATTGGAGACAACTTCTAATTTTCCTATGAATGTTCATAATACACAGTATCAGAGTCTGTAGTTAAGGCACTTATTATTTAGGCTTTAAACTGTTACCTTCACACTAAATAAATGTTAAGGAATGATTTCCTTGGAGAGATATAAATGGTTTTTCTTGGCTCATCTATATTTTATTTCATTCAGTTCTCCTCCAGTTGAATCATTAATATTATGTGACTTAAGCTATACATTACTATGGTATAGTGATACAAGTTTCAGTTACATTCTAGAAGTTTCTCTTCATATAGATAATTGAAGAAACTCTTCTATGGGAACTAAAGAACTACAACAAGAGCCAGCTAAAATACTTCTGGGAACCAAAGAACCATTCTCAAGGCATTGTTTTCATTTTTTAAACACATTTGAATGACTGGAGATACTCAAATCTTTTCTTCTTCCTCCTCCTCTTTTTTGTTTTACTCTCTTTGTCCCTACTTCTTCCACCTTTCTCATGTATTCATTTATTCAGGTTTATGCTAGATGCTGGAGATTCACCTATAAATCAGACAGATATGTTGCTTGTCCTTGGTGACAATGTAGTTTAATGGAGAAGAGCCTGAGCAAATAGTTAAAGAGTATTTTAAAGGGCAAGTGCCGTGTTTCATGAGTTTGTAACAGGGAGCCCTAATGTAGTCTGGATTTTGTGCATGTGTAGGTCAGAGACAGAAGGAGACGAACAGGAAGCAATAAGAAATGAGGATTGACTTGTAGGCATTGATCAGATCATACTTAATTTTCTAGACAGGGCAAGGATTTTATTCTTAAGAGTAATGAAAAGCCAGTAAAGGGTTTAAACAGAGGATTGTCATGATCACTTTGTATTTTAAGATCACTCTGGCTGCAGTATAGGGAATTATTTGGAAGGAACCCAGAGTAGATGTGGGGGCAGGAGCTAGATTTGTGAAAAACTATTGAAGCTTCCAGAGGGATTGGGCAAACAATATTAAGGATTTCTGTGTTTCTCCTACTAGCAATGGGGGAACCTAAGTTTGGTCTTCAAGGGCATGACCCCCAGCAGATATCCAACACATACATTTAAAAAATCACTCCAGGGGCGCCTGGGTGGCTCATTGGGTTAAGCCTCTGCCTTTGGCTCAGGTCCTGGGATCGAACTCTACATCAGGCTCTCTACTCAGCAGAGAGCCTGCCCCCCCCACCCCCTCCACCCTCGCCGGCTGCCTCTCTGCCTACTTGTGATCTCTGTCAAATAAATAAATAAAATCTTAAAAAAAAAGGGTCTTCTGGCCTCTAAGGATTATCTTCCAGGCATATTGTCCCATGACCCAGGACTGTGTTCTCTCCTAACTTGCCAAGCTCCATACCATGCTGTATAAGACCTTTAATGATCTGGCCACTTCCATATTTTCTAGCCCCATCTTCCTCCCACCTGATCCTGACAGTTATACTCTAGCAGTACTAGTCTTCTTGAAAGGACTCATTATGTTCTTTCATGCCTGTATGCTTTTCCATGTGCTATGGTTTCTTACGGTACGCTTTTTTTTCTGGGTCTTGTTTGGTAAAGCACAATTCATTTTTTAAAACCCATCTCACATGTTTCTTCTGGGACGTCTTTCATGACATTGGGTTCTCCAAATTAATAATAATAACAACAGCAATAACAGTAACAACAGTAGTATTAATTGTAATGTTAATAATGGATGTCTGAATCATCTACTCCTTCCTAACCATCATGCTTTCGGGAGAAGGTGACAGTAGTGAGTAACAGGGATTTGAGTGGAAGGATGTATGTCTTGAAAGCACTTTCATTCAAATTTAAAAAACTGTTCTACTCAGATAATAACCTTCTGTGGCAAGGATTCAATTAGGTGTTACTATGAAACGTTGCTTAAATGTTTGTCCACTGAAATTTAGTTTATTTCCTACCCAGAATAAGTAAGAGAGATGAGAGTGTTCCAAGGGTATATTAATGGTTTATTTTATTGTGATTTATAAAATAGATATTTTATTAATGGTTTCTCAAGGGTCGTTGAAGGGCAAGGGCAGAGATGCTATAGATGGATGGAAACATGGAAGGGCTTGAGCAAATTTGTCCTTTTTAGCTTGTGTTTTTCTTACTGTTCTTTATCCAGTGCCCACTGCCATTCAGTTCTCTGACATTTATATCCATCGGCATGCATTCAGATACACTGCGTTATAGAGCACTGTAGCCTGAGCAGTAGAATGAGTTCTGCTAAGGAATGGCAAGAGGCAAAGGTTAAAATAGAGTTCCTCCTTTGCTCAGTTTGCTTTAATTCAGGAAGAGATCAAGGAATAGGCAAAGAAGGTTACATGTTGTCTTAGCTTTGCTGCCATAACAAAATACCATAGACTGAGCAGCTTAAACAACAGAAATTTATTAACTCCTAGTTCTGGAGGTCATAAAGTCCAAGGTCAAGATACATGCTGATTTGGTTCCTGGTGAGAACCCTTTTCTTGGTGTGTGGACTGCTGCCTTCTCACTGTGTCCTCACCCTGCTGGCAGAGAGGGGGATAGAGAGAGGGTAGGGTCTCTGATTTTTTCTTCTAAGGGCACTAATCCCATCATGATGGCCCTGTCAGGATACCTCTAATCCTAATTATCTCCCAAAGGCCCCATCTCCAAATATAATGTCATTGGGGGTTGGGGCTTCAACATACTAATTTTAGGGGATATAATTTAGTTAATAGCAGTGCGTTTGTTGTTTTCTGGTGACTTTCTTATGTCTTAAGATTTTCACCATTAATAATAATGGTCTGGAGACTTTTCCCAGAAGAAGAAAGGTTTTTCCTCCCTTACGTTTTCTATGTGACTGTGGTTACCAGGTTTTTAAAAATAAGAACTCCAGATGTCATAATAATAATTTCCAGACATTACAGTCTTTCCTCACAGATTATGTTACTTTGGCTTCAATAAAGTTTTTCCCCCTTTTCTGTTCCACTTCCTCTCCCCTCTTCTAGGAGTCCTTTCATGCTCTTATTATTACTACATGGGTTTTAGTGTAGGCTTTTCTTTTTTGCAGGTGGAGACCACGTGGCTTTGCAAGGCCAGAGTTAATGAAGATCTTACACAATTCACTCGATGATTCTTTCAAACGCCTTATTTATCCTCTCCTCTGTAGAGAGTTCAGGTACGTATCTTGTCGTAGTTAATTTTATGCACTGTTTATTATTATTTATGGTAATAGGCCCATTAAAGCCTGATGTAAATATTCATTGACCCATTAACCCATCCGAAGAACTGAGTCAGGATCACAAAGCAATTATATAGTTAAGCCTAGAGTTCAGTCTGTAGAGGCATTCACATGTATAAACCACAAAACAGAGGTCTTAATTTTTTCAAATCTTGACCAGTTAATGTGTATCCCTTCCAGTCCTATAGTACCAGTTTTGCAGATTGACAGCCAGGACAAATGAATGGTTTTATTGATGAGAGGTTTAGCTTGGGGTAATAAACTAAGAAGTTAATGGAGAATTTAGTTGGAAGCAGTTTTTGGAGGTAAGAGAACCAAAACAGCATGAGAAATTCATCATGTGCTCAGTGGGTCACATGATAAATTTATTACTATGAATTTATTCCTAGGAAGAGAGAAAGCCAATATATGTTTCTAATTCTAAGTGGGAGTTGTGTAAGTGAATAATTATCAGCAGCGATGAGCACATATTAGAGGAGATGATTAAAACGACCATCTAGGGGCGCCTGGGTGGCTAAGTGGGTTAAAGCCTCTGCCTTCGGCTCAGGTCATGATCCCAGGGTCCTAGGATCGAGCCCCGCATCAGGCTCTCTGCTCCGCAGGGAGCCTGCTTCCTCTTCTCTCTCTGCCTGCCTCTCTGCCTACTTATGATCTCTGTCAAATAAATAAATGAAATCTAAAAAAAAAAAGTGACCATCTAAATGGACTATTGGAAGGATTAAGTTACAAAGAAGAACTGCAAAAGAGCTGAGGGGCAGATTGTGGGTTTTTATAGGGTAAGAGATGGAACGAAGTTTGAGGAGGCAAAAACCCTCTTTTCTGCTTATCTCTAGCCTGTCTTTGTAGTCAGTCTTCAAACTAGCCATTCCCTGATATATTCCTTTCTATGTGTTGCAGACTTTCTTCATTTTCTCTTATACGGATTTTAGCAAGGGTTACTTGAAAACTCTAGATTTCTAGCCATCTCTTCAAGCCTATGAGAATAGATAGCAGCTTTTAGAATGTTTGCCTATTTTTCTTTTACTGGACTTGGCCATTGACTTTGGAGGTGTTGACAACAGGGACTGAGGAGGTAGTATAAAAAAAACACAAAGCTTCTTTGACAGGCTTCTTTTTATCAAAGTCATTCATTCTCTTGATTCATCCTTCATAGCTCAGTTGTCCCTTAACAATATTGTTTCTCTTCAAATCCTATTTCGTTTCAAGTCTGCGTGAGGTAACATCTCTTGCTTTTGAGTGCTGGGGCATAAAATTTAAAAATAAGGGGTTTTGTTCACAAGGAAAAAGAGAAGGTTACCTTATTCAAAATTTTGTTTCCTCTTGTTTTTCTTTATCTTGGTTTTTCGTGGAGCATATAATGTCCAGTGGTGCTTTTTTCCCCCCCAGTGGTGCTTTTGACAGTTTTGCATACATTCGACTTGAGGAGCTTCACTGCCTCTGGAATGACTTCATTGTGATTTGATGTAAGCGATTTGGTGTGGGACTGTTTAATGTTTAATCCTTTTTTGACTTCTTTTAGCAGTGAGCAAACAAGAGCACTTCTCTTCTCTTTTTCTAAATTGCCTTTAGTTAAAACAATATATCTTATTTTAGTCTGTAAGTCAGTTTGCAGATGCTATCTACAGATGTGTCTCTTGATAGAAATACTTATAATTACCTAAACAGCAGTTGAGGGAGAAAACTCCCAGTTGATTTTTCTTTAAAGAAAATTACTTTGATTCTCTAATTAAAAAGAAATTTGTCCTAATGTAGAAAAATTGAAAGAATCGGTAAAACACTAAGGAAAAAAACCCACAAAATTTCACTTCCTGAAGATAATCACTGTTAACCAGACCTTTCTCCATTCATGTGTGAGTACTTAAAACAACCATACAGACTCTATTATTTTGCAGACATTTGATTCAATTGACTATACACTATGCAGTCTACTTTGGATTTCTTATTTCTGTAACAAGATGATTCATCCTTGTGTTGTTTTTCATAGCTACCTCTTTCATCAAATCTGTGTTGTCCGTTACCAAGTGCTGCCTGTTTTCCCATCCTTTATTATACCTTGAATTTTGCCACTTTTTGGTGTCTGTGGTTACTGTTTTAGTTCAGGGTATGATAATTTCTTTTCTGGATTACTGTTCTAGCATCACAGATGATCTCTGTCTTGTTTTGCCATACTACACCTTTCACATCGCCATCCTTAAACTCCCGTCTGATTATTTCATACTCTTCTACTTAAAATTCTCCAGTGGCTCTTCTTTGTCTTTAGAATTAAATCAAAGCTCTTTAGAAGACCATGCATAGCCTTTTGTGGTCTGATTTCATTTTGGCTCTACAGCCTTATGTCTTGGTATTTTTTACTTTAGCGTATGAAATTACTTGCTTCTTCTATAATGAGTCACGTTAATGTATGGTTCTTCCATTGCCTGCAACATTTTCTCTATGCCTTCATTCTATTCTCTCTGCTTTTGTTGGCTTAACTCTTGCTTACTCTTCTTGATTGACCTGAGTAGACGTCTCTTTTAGAGAGTTTTGTGGTTTAATGTCCTTCCCATATGTTCTCATTAAGCATCGCACTTAACCATTGTTTATACTTACCTGATTATTTTGCTGTTTCTTCCACTCTGCAGTCATGTTCAGAGCAGGGATCTTGTCTTCAGCTTTGTATCTCACACTGATCAGGGTACTTTATATAAGACTGACAGCAAACATTTGCTTTATAAATAAAGTTAAAAGTGAAGATTCAGAAATACCAATCATGATATTTTTCATGTTGCTTGGCTGAATGTGGGAGAAGGAAGTGAAAAGATGAGAGGAAGCCTTAAGAAACTGACTCAGACACAAAAAGCAGACTTTAGTTAGCTGCGTGTGCCTTCAGATATATAGATAATTCTACCCCATCACTGATATGAAATGTACTTTGAATGGTTTTTGTACTGTCGGTTTTCTTGTGACCATGGCGTAAATGTCTTTACCTGTTCTAAGGGAGAAGACATACTTTTTATGTCTTCTTATAAAATTCACAAGAATTTCAGGAGATAATATGTTAAGAGCTTTTGTTAAGAAGATGAATGGTGTTAAGGGGCACCTGACTGGCTCAGTCAGAAAAGTGTGTGACTCTTAATCTCTGGGTCTTGAGTTCGAGCACCACATTGTGTGGTGTGTGTGTGGATTACTTAAATAAGTAAATACTTAAAAAAAAAGTGAATGGTGTTACAATTTAGTTTTTAGATGCCTTTAATTCCTTTATAGACATATATTTTTATCCTAAAAAAAGTTTTAAAATTAGAATTCTAATAACTTCTCTGGAGAAAACCTGGGAAATTGTATGCATGAGGCATGGTTCTGGACTGATTACTAATATCCTTGGTCATGTCACATCTCTGTGACAATGACAAGGTGGGGGCTCAATGTGGAGAACTGAACAGAGTAAGAAGATGACATTGTGATTTGTATGGGTAAAAGTGTAAAGCTAAGTACTGATGGAAGAGACTACTTAGGATTCAATACTTTATCACTAATCTTGTGTTTATATTTTTAATCACCTAATAAACTTTAACTTGACTTGTTACATGATGTCCAGGTCTTTATATACTCTGTTTCTCTCACATACACAGATATTTATACATATAGATTTCGTATATAAAAGGGCAGATAGAAAAGGAATATAGGTATGACACTGAGATTTGCTTCAGAATTGTTTGTGGTTTCATGTATTATTGCAGTTAGCAAAAATAGACTCAGTATAATTTTATATATGATCTTTTCTCCTTTATTTTGTTATAAAAGTTACTCCTGTGAGGAATAAGTGTACAGAAAGAATTCTGTTCTTTGCAGGAAGAAACTTGAGGTGAATAAAAAAACTGAATACTTTCTCTTTTTCCTTTTATTTTTTGGTTTCTAAAGAGCCAAACTAACATCAGATGCAGAGAAGGAATCAGTAATGATGTTTGGACGTAACCTTCGTCAGCTGCTTTTAACAAGCCCTGTTCCAGGGCGCACCTTGATGGGAGTGGATCCTGGTTACAAACATGGTTGCAAATTAGCTATAATTTCTCCTACCAGTAAGTATATCTTTCAGCTCTTCAATGAAAAGTTGTTTGGTTGGGCCTAAGTTTCACATCATACATACTGTGAGGATTTGAAATAATGTTAATTTTTGAGAAATTAAAATTTCTCAAATGGTTTTCTCACACACTGTAGTGTGGGAACTAGAAAATCAAATTTCATGTTTGTCTTATTTGTTGATCAAAAATCTCAACATGTTACTATCATTTATACTGTGCCTTTCCCTGTGTCATAGTGGAGATGTTGAAGATTAACTAGGCTCAAGCTTGAAAAACTATTCCCCATCAACTTCTATTTATTATGATGCATTTTAACTCTGTGTATTTTAACTACCAGACATTTTTGTTTTGCCGAGCATTTTTCCCCTTATTTACTATCTACCCTTTCTATTGCCCTTCATTTCTTGCTGCATTTCTGTGTCTACATTTGAGATTATTTTCTCTGCTTGACCTTCTAACCTGTTACATTTAATATGGGGTCAGCTGGTGAGAAATTGTGTTAGTTTTTTCCTAAAATGTTTCTGATTTGCCCTCATTTATGAAGGATATTTTTGCTGGGTATAGAATTCATGACTGGCAGTTATTTTCAGTACTTTATAGGTGTCATTTCATTTTTTGTTTGTGTTCTTTCCCCCTCTGGCTACTACACTTTTTGTTGAGAATGAGAACTCAAACAAAAACCTTATTATTGCTCTTTTGAAGGTAATGATTTCTTTTTTCCTAAGGCTGCTAAGATTTTCTGTTGTGGTTTTCAGAGGTTTTCTTACGATGTGCTTAGCTCTGTGTGTGGTTGTGTGTTTTGTGTGTGTGTGTGTGTTGTGTGTTTGGTTTTCTGAGGTTTTTTTACATGAATTCTTCTTGGGATTTGTAGAGCTTCTTGGTATTTCTTTCTGGAATTCCAATTACATATATATTAGACCTTTCAATTTGCTGTTTTTCTGTTTTTCATTCTTTTCTATTTTATACTGTTTGTCTTTATATTAATTAAGCCTCTATTCTGCTATGTCTGATCTGCAATTAAAGCTATCCATTGAGTTTCTTATTTAAATTATGGTGTTTTCAAGTTTTTGAATTTCCATTTGGTACCTACAAAAAATAGATTTCAGTTCTCTAATGAACTTTATCACTTTCAGTTTTTTGGAGCTTTTGTATTTTCCTTATTTTTACCTTAAAGTTCTCTTATTATTTTTATATTATTATATTATGGACTATTACTATATGTTATATACAATAACATATACTATATATTATATACATTATATACATATATATTATATACAATAATATATACTATTACATTTATTTGTTCGTTGTTTCTTTTGGTTTAGATTTTTCTTTCTGAAATAACTTTGATTTTTTTTAAACGATTTATTTATTTGAAAGAGAGAGGGAGCATGAGAAAGAGCACAAGCTTGGAGTAGGGGCAGAGGGAGAGAGAGAAGCAGGCTTCCCACAGAGCAGGGAGGCTGATAGGGGACTCGATCCCAGGACCCTGGGATCAAGACCTGGGCTGAAGGCAGATGCTTAACTGACTGAGCCACCTAGGTGCTCCTGAAATAACTTTCATGTCTAATTCAGTTTTGAGTTCTCACATGTTATTTCTGGGGTTTTCTTTTCTTTCTTTTTTTTTTTTTTTTAAAGATTTTATTTATTTATTTGATAGAGAGATCACAAGCAGGCAGAGAGGCAGGCAGAGAGAGAGGAGGAAGCAGGCTCCCTGCTGAGCAGAGAGCCCGATGCGGGGCTCGATCCCAGGACTCCGAGATCATGACCTGAGCCGAAGGCAGCGGCTTAACCCACTGAGCCACCCAGGCGCCCCAATTTCTGGGGTTTTCTAATTCTGATTTATGTTATTCTCATTTTCTTTCTTTCTTTTTTTTTTGGTAGCTCATTCTTTAAGTTACAATTTTTCTCTGCGTTTTGTGAGCACATCTTTCTGTAAAGACATACTAGTCTTTGTTTTTAACTTACTGTTTTAAAAAATAGTCATTCTATATGGAATTTGACCGTCATCCTTTTCTGTTGCTTAGGTTTACGTAAAATTCATTTTCCTCAGCTTTTAGGGTAGAAGACCAGGTCAGGAAAGATTTTCTAGCTGTATATCTCTAGAACTGTCCCTTCTTTTTTCCCCAAATTACTGGCGTTGGGGGGAAAGCACTGTAGTATCTCTATGAATAAAGAGATAGCCTTCTACTTTCTTGAATCTGTTTTCCTGATGCTTTCTCCATTTTACCTGGACTTCTTTCTCCTTTGACCATTTTATCCTTATCTTACTCAGGGGGGATATGATTTCCAACAGTTTCTCAGTTGGGGTTTTTGTCTTGAAAAGGATATTCTGCCTGGGTTTCACAAGTTCATAGAGACCAAAGTTTTCCAATCCTTCCAAAACTCAATGGGCAGACTTTCTACTGAATTATAAATTGTAGTATGCAGAGGTCTTTCCCACACTACAGGGAAGTACCTTTTGATATTTTCTGGTCTGTGAGATACTTCATTGCTTGTCTCTTCTTGCTCCCACAAAAGTGCCAGTGCATGTAGGTCTTGGTAGTTGCATTGTTCCCACTTGTTCATCTTTTGAGTTTTGTAGAATACTTTGCTACAGATAGCCTTGGGTTTTTGGTTTTGCTGTCCTAGTTGCTCTTTTTTTATTATGCTATACATTTTTACAGTAAATGGGAAGCATATTTTACCAATATCTTTTCCTGAATCTCTTGAGATACCATACGTGTTCGTATTTGGATCTGATATTATTTGTATTACTTACAGGATGACTTTTTAAAAATACTGTATGCACTCCCACATATATATGTATGTATCTTCTATCTGTTTGGTACGACATTTCCAAGAATTTATCCATTCCAACATTTAAATTAACATGAAATTGTTCATAATAGTCTTTATATCTTTTTTTAAATTTTATTATTTTTCTGTCTTTATATCTTTTTAATCTGTGCTAAAGCTCTAGTTGTATCCTCTTTTCATGTCTAATATGATTTATTTCTCTTTTTTTTATTTATCTATAACTTCTTTCTTTTTCTTGATTGGTATTGTTAAAAGTATATGTTTTTCTTAAGTGATTTTTAATTTTAAACTTTACCAGTCCTCTTCATTACATATATATTTTTCTATTTTGTTAATTTCTGCTTTTAACTTCATTAATTCCTTCCTTCTGCTCTCTTTGACATTATTCTCTTGTTCTTTTCATAGCTTCCTAAGTTGGTCACTTAGCTCATTATTTCTGTTCTTGAGGTTGTTATCCTCAAATGTTGAATTTATTTTTCACTGAAATATAATATAGAGAAACACCAAAGTCATAAATATGCAGCTTAAGAATTATGCAGGGAAAGAAATGCACGTATCTACAACCCAAAGAAGAAATAGAATAGTATTACAACATTGTCTGGCATTTGGTACATATTCAGTAAATGTTAGCTCAGTGTTAAGTGTTATTAAAAACCATTTCTCTTTTAGGTATCATGGCATATAATCTAGTTAATAATGATAAGTAGCAAAGTAGTGTCCTTATAACTTCGGAGGTAACAAAATTTCAGAGTGGAAGAATCTGATTTAGTGAATATGAATGATTCATCCTGCATTTTTAAGACAAAGGAGTTCCCTTGTCTAGTATAAATTACTTAATCAAATCATCTTTGTGTTGTGTTTTGTGATTTCTTACAAAATGGCTTATTCTTTTCATTTTCTCTAAGGTCAGATACTTCATACCGATGTGGTTTACTTGCATTGTGGACAAGGCTTCCGAGAGGCAGAGAAAATAAAGAGGCTTTTGCTGAATTTCAAGTATGAAAATAAGTAACCTTTTGAGTACTTCACTGGCTCAGCCAATCAGAGATACCTTTGAAGCTCCTAATTTGGAGGGAGGGATTAAGGGAATTGCCTTGGTGAGAGAGAAGGAATCATGTAAAACAATGCTGGGGCAAATTGCTGGAGAACTCTACATTTGGAGACTCTGGAGGGATGCTTCTCCCTTCCTGTGCCACCTTCACTAAACAAAAGGTGGTAATATGAGCAAAAGTGAGCATTGAATTCTTTTATTTGGGCTTTCTCTCTCTCTCTTTCTCTCTTTCTCTCACACCCGTTCTTCCTCCCTTCCCTCCCTTCCTCCCTGCCTTCTTTCCTTCCTTTTTTGGATCTGAGGAGTGGATGTGATAGTAGTTTGAAGCTTCAGGGATTATTTGGCACTGTATCACGTAATTCAGTCATGATGTCTTTATTGTGGCATAGAATGCTTCAGAGTTTATTATTTATTTGTAAATTTGGTTCCTTCTAGATGGGAAGAAAGCTGACTGTTCTTGATGGTATGACAGTAAAATACTTCTCCGTTGCCTCCCATACCAAATGTAGGGGCATTGTCCTTTATTCTACAAAAGTCTGTCCCTCCATTGTGAGATTGTGGAGATGTTGCTTGGCTATATGAGAGAATAAGATCATCCTGTGATAGTATTTGTGCATTTTGTGCATTTTCTCCTGATTGACTTAGAAGCATGCCTTGAGCTCATTCCATTTCTCATCTTGTTTATCCCTTGAAGCTGCAGCACAGTGGTGATTGGAAATGGAACTGCCTGCCGGGAAACAGAAGCTTACTTTGCTGACCTGATAATGAAAAATTACTTTGCACCACTGGATGTTGTTTACTGGTAAGGATGTTAGGAATGTTTGTTTTCTTTGAGAGGCAAAGGAACTTCTCCAGTTCCTTCTGTGATAAATTCTCTCTTCTCTTTTTATGATATGCATCTTCTTTGCCCGCAGACCACCTCTTGCTGTCCACAAGTACTTTGTAGTACGACATAAAGTGTCTGTCTCCTAGAGAAATTTGAGTTTCAGTATCCTGAAAACTCTCACAGAAATAGCAAGCGAGGGCTTACTTGGTTTCATGGGGTTTTCTAGGCTGTGCCTTGTGTGAGAGCTCTAGTTAATTATTAACTAGTACATAGAACTGTGGATAACTTAGCTTTTTTTTCTTCCAAAGTTCTGAGGCCTATAAATTGTTGGTTTTCAGAACTGACAGCCAAGGGTAAGTATTACCAGTTAAAGCACTTCTGATATTCCTTTCTTGTTCGTGTCTTCATTGCAAGCTTTCATTTTATATAGACATCCAGTTAACTTCTGAATAGCTTTGGATTAGCATGACCCATTTCTGTAGTCCTACCCCTAGATCTGTTGTAGTTCTGCTTTTGTTCACCATCGTTTCCTTACTTTCTCTTTGGACCTCAGGTAGCCAGGGTTATCTTTTTCTTTTCTTTCTTTTCCTTTTTTCCTTTTTAGATTTTATTTTTTTATTCGACAGGGAGAGAGAGAAAGAGCACAAGCAGGGGGAGCAGGAGAGGGAGAAGCTGGCTCCCCATTGAGCAGGGAGCAGGACACGGGGCTTGATCCCAGAACCCTGGGATCATGACCCCAGGCAAAGGCAGATGCTTAACCCACTGAGCCACCCAGGTGCCCCCACACTTACCTTTTTCAAGCTACAGTAGAATATTAAGTTCTTAAGGGTTTAATTTTACGACAGAAGACAATTACGATAGCTGGTATCTTCGGAAGAGTGCACAAGCACCATCTTCCACTGCTGGAAGTCAGCTGATGAGTATGTGACTAACAGGATCAACAAACAAAACCCAACACAGGAAGAAGAATCCTAAGATTCTTTTTAGGCCGAAAGAGGAGGGCTTTGTATTTAGTGTAGTGTTCCATATTCCAAGAGGATAATCAAGATGTCAAGAAAACAAATGCAGGGTAACCAAAGGGGTTTAGGAGGTCAGGGACAAGCTGTAGGTACCACAGGGCCGTGGTTCAGGAAAGGACCAGATTGAAAAATCCACCTCAGCTTTTCTTCCCCCTCTCTTCCTCTTCTTGTTCAGGTTGGTCTGGGGAGTACTGTGGATCTTCCCTATTCCAGAAACTGTGCACATGCATCCAGTCCTTTTGAGAATGTGGTACAAGGACCCGATATAGCTGATTCAGTTTATTTCAGGCAAATAAACTTTTTTGTCTGATTTTTTTTAACTTGTTCATGTTAATTTAATATAAATATCTACAAATATTTATCTAATATAAATCTGTAGTACTTAGAACTTTCAGATCATTAAATTATTAAATGTGCTAGTGTGCTAGTATGATTCGCTATTTTCAATCCTCTGGCGCATAGTAGGCACTCATGTTATTTTTTGAATATCTAAATATTTGTTTCCATTCATGTTAAATTATTATACTTGACTTTTTTTTCCTGCTTTTGTCTTGGTTTTTCCTTTTGTAAAAAAAGTAGTGTTTTTGTTTTGTTTTGTTTTATAGAAGTGGTAAAATTTATTGAAATGTAGAAATGGCTAGCTCCTTTGAGACATGCTTATGAGCAGTGTATCTAGTTTCTCCCAAACTGAAACCTTCTTAAATCAGGGATCATGTTTTATTTATCTCTACCTCCTTCCCATTAAACATAACATCTGTACTTACAGGTCCATCTCAACAAATACTTACTAATTTAGATTCTTAAACATTAAGCTTTAAATTATTTTTAACCAGATAAATCTTTTCAAGCTATTGACCAGAATTACAATATGGAACAACTGTAGACAATTTCCCCTCTGCTTAATGCTCTGGTAAATCTATGACTTACTGTTTTCTCTCTTTTTTCATTGATAGAGAAATTTGCATTTGGTAGATTAGAGGCTATATTTTACCCAAGATAAATGATAGTTTCTGAAATAAAAATATTACATGGTTAGAGTTACATATTTATTTAATGAACTGTGAGAGAATTAAAAGAAGTCTTTAATATTTGCCATCTTGTATTTCAAACTATGGTTGGCACACTTTATACTGGTAGCGGAAACATTGCTAGAAATTACAGCATTGTGGGCATTCTGTAGAATTACATGAGACCACATAAAAACCTGGGAGCAGCAAATGTAAAGGAAAATTTTGTGCTGTTAATTCAGACCCTGCACTTCATGCTTCTGCCCTGAAAACTGCAGTATACAGTGAGTTTGAGCAGGCAAATACAGAAAACAGGAGAAAAGAAATTAATTTTGCTTCCCAATGCCCTAGTTCATTAGGATAATGAATCAAGTAACAGAGTGACCTGAGGAGGTGTGATGTGTGATGAGAGAATGAGAAAAGGGAACGGGTGCTGTGAGAGAGGTATGGGGTTGTGGGTTTGAGGTTAGATGTAGACCAGCAGGCTTTGCCATTGAAGCATAAGCAGACGGCTAGATCGTATTAGGAAAAGGGGGTTGGCACTGGATGTCTGTAAAGTACACACTAGACCTCTCTCTTCTTTTATTCTAGAAGAGTACCCATCATTTAATAGAAAATATAATTTAAGAAATCATGATTTTGTTGCTTGAGATTAGTTGTCTCTTCCAGAGTCTAACTTAATTGAATTGTTTGAGCCTCAAAGGGTTAATTCCTTTGTGAAAAATGCCTAAGAATGAAGCTAATGAAAATCTTTTGGTTTAAAATTAAAAGACAAACATTATTTCTTTAAAGGTGTTAATAATACTTATTATTACTGCAGATTGGAAAACACAGACAAGTGATAGGCTTTTCTGTTAGCTCGATTGTTAGTTATATTTGGGAGCATATTTCTAGATTGTGTGTGTTATAAAAAAAGAAACTCACACTGTACATGTTTTACAGCATTTCCTGTACTTACTATATTCCCATGCCAATAGATGGACTTCACAAAGTCGTTTAAAATTACTACGGATAAACTCTTCTATGATCTTGTATTTTAGTCAGTCCTCATTGTGTGACAGCTGGCTTTTTCTAATCGTCACCATTACCCACAAAACTATAATGAATGTTTTTGTGCTTAAATCTTTGCACATACCTTTATTGCCTTCGAATCCGTTCCAAGAAGTGGGCTGTAGGTTTAAGAGTTAACTTACCACTGCTTCTGAACTGCAAAGCGCTTAATTACCAAACCCAATCTATTACTGAGATTATTTCAATGCTATTTCTCCCTCTTATGAGCATGTTGGCTAATTTGGGATGTCTTTACTTAAAAATATTTATATTACAAGTATATATAAAAGTCCCAATAAAAAGGGAAGAAAATAAAGCACTTTTTAGTGTGAAATAGATCTAAAGAGTACAGAACTTCTATATACAGTTTGAAGAATAAAATGAGTGTCCTTGTTCCCAGCTTTTAGGCTTCTTGTGTGTTTTTTCCTTGGAGCGCCTCCACTCCAATGTAATCATTGTAACTGGGTTGTATGAATTATTGCTTGTTTGAGAAAATTAATTTTCAAACTGCCTATTTGTAGGGCTTTTGAAGTACATTGCTGTGCTATCTTCCAGAATGACTATGCCAATTAATACTCTTATCTACAGATGTCTCTACTCCCCTTTTTCTGGGACTTTGAGTATTATTACAATGCATGTTTGTTCTGTCATTTTTGTTTTAATTGCATATTGATATCCCAACAGCACTGATTCTTAACTAATTGTGTGATCTTGGACAAATTACCTAACCCTCTGTATTTCAGGTTCATCATCTGTAAAAGGGGATGATAATAGTATCTATCGTAGAGAATTATTGTGGAGGTTAAATGAGTTAGTATCTATAAATTGCTTGGAATAGCACTTAGCATATACTTGCTGTTATTATTAATGGAGTCAGATATATTTTTGTATGCTCACTGGCCATTTCTGGACTTCTTTGTGTATCTGTGATTGGCTTGTATCCTTTGCTCATTTTTTTTCTGTTGGAGGTTTTTGTCTGGTTCATAATGTTTTAAAATGTTTTTTTATATTAATTATTGATCCATTTGTTACAACAAATTTTAGCAGATTATGCAAGAAATTCTCTCCATTTTGTGTTTAAATTCAAGCTTTATTTTGTATAGAATGCTAAATTTTATCTTTTAAGGTTTATCTGTCTATTTTTCTTTATGGCTTTTGAGTTTCTTATTATTCTTGAGCCTAGAATATTAGAAAATATATTAGTTTTTGTAGAAAATAGGAATCTCTTATATGTCCAAGAATATTAAGGTTTTTTGTTTTCTTTCTTTCTTTTTTTTTTTTTTTTAAAATGCAGGCTTCCCTCAAGTTTTTATTTCTTTAACTTTTCTTTAAGTCTTCTCACTTTTCTCTGTAAAACCATAAAACCTCATTATCATCTCAGTTACAGTTATGATTGCTTTGAAGCTTTTTTATTCTCCCAAGAAACCAAAAATTAACCAGAGAACCTTAATCAGCTTAGGTAACAGAAATAGAATAGAAAGCTGTTAATTAGTTTTGAGAGTAGTTTTGAAAAAAGAATGGATGCTGATTTTTCCCTTTCTTTCTTAAGGTCTTTATTGCCAGCTGTCGCGTTTTGTAAACAGCAGAGCCACCTGATTTCTTCCCTTTCCACCCTTCCTCTCCTTTTCTCTTTCTCCTTCCTCATCTTTTCTCTCCTTTCCTCTCTCCTTTTTCTTCTTTAATTCTCTTGTTTGGTAGCACCATATTTTAGTTATCTATTGTTTGACAACTGGTTATTTTCGATCTTTGATATATCTTTAGTTTTAAACCTATGGGTACAGACTAATCAGCTGTAATTTCAGTATTTATTTGCAGGCACATTTAGTATGGGATTTGTCTATAACCCATTTAAAGTTAGCTTTTATATATGGTATGAAGTTCTTTTTTTGCTTATGACTGG